GGGGGGGGGGGTAAAGGGTGGCTGACGTATAAGGCTGACAAACTCACCGCCATCTGTGAGTCGACTCTCTAGAATATGCTGGGTCCTCGACGTCTCACAACCCTATAGGCTTCCTTTCCTCACATTAAAGTCTCATCAAGTGAAACCCGAACTCAAAGGTACCAAATTTTACGACGTACTTTATTTTAACAGGTCGTTATGCATTACTCTAGAAAGTTATTATACGCCAAAATATGCCTATATTTTAAACCCAAATTTTCTATTGCAGAATACATGTATTTTAAACAGTCTTCCCACAGTGGCTGCAGCACCCCCCCACCCCTCACACACTGTCCTAACAGTATTTCCTCGCTTGAAGGGCCCGCAGCCCCCAGAGCCCTGGAGGGACACGCGCGAAGCCATAGTTGAAGGGAACGTCTGCCCGCAACGAGACATGATGTCCGGTGCTTTCATGGGAGACGAGAACTGCCTCTTTCTGAACGTCTTCACCAACAAGGTAACAGAGCTGCAATGTGATTGGCCTATCGACTGTCTGAGAAAGAGCAGTCGCGTTTTTCATCTCAAATATTTAAAGAAATGATAAATTTGGACCGGTCATTTAAGATTTCTCAACACTTCCACTGTTGTGACACAATACACAGACAGTATATCGCGCTACATCCAACTTATTATCATTGTGAAATAACGTCCGAAAGCCAGAATAGTGAAGTCAGAATAGACGTTCATTGTTAGGCAACGATCCACTAAACATATTCCCGCAGCAACGAATACGCATACTGCGGCCACTTCTGGCCTATTGTACCAGCCACAGATGATAAGTGAGGGTGATTGTGGAACAATTGGTGGAATGAAAATTGGCAGGAGAAACCGAAGTACTCGAAGAAAACCTGCTCCAGCTCCACTTTGTCCACCATAAATCCCACTTGACCAGACTCGGGATCGAACCCGGGCCGCCGCGATGGGAAACCAGCGACTAACCGCTTGAGCTATGCGCGGCCTCTTTTTCGCGCAGTTAGCAGCTCTCTCCAGTATCTCATCTTCTTGGGGAAGTCGCTAGGTCTCTCCAACATCTGTCTCTGTCTTGGATTCTATCTCCCCCTGTGGTAGGTTTTGGTCGAACCGTATAGAGATCACCATCTCAAAGGGATCATATTTCGCATAGCTGTGGGAACAACTTTTACCTATCCGTTGCAATGGATACACTTCTGCATGCGTTGCATAGCAAGTTAGTTAATTAGTTACTCTAGGACCGAGTTTTGTCAGGTTAGGAAACTTTTACCATACAAGAGGGGCTTCATTGTCATAGGACCATAATCTTCCAGTTAATATGAAGTTCGACATTCCACCAGATCCCCGAGTGTCCCGAGCAGCTGAAGGCTGTTATGGTTTGGATCCATGGCGGTTCCTACAAGGGGGGCTCAGGGACATCGATGGTCTATGGGCCGGACCACATCCTTACTGAGGACGTTGTGCTCGTCACTATCAACTACCGCCTGGGACTTCTAGGTAGGTCTCCAGCACTAGGACATGTGAAAGCTTCTGGCTTGGGGACAGCTTATGCACTGTTCACCTCCTGTTTTGTGCGACGTCAGTGTAGCAAGAACGTAACTGAAGACGTTCGAGAACGCTGAGCTGGGTGGGGGAAGGAGGCAGCAAGAAAAGGGAGAACACAGCAGAATGAGAAGATTCATAATTTGTACTCAGAAAATATTAAAGAATGAGAACTTCAAATCTCAAACAGCAATTCTCTATGGGGGATGAGATATTATGCCCTGAATTCGAGTCATCACATCCCACGAAATTTTGATAAATATCAATTAGACTATGTTGGTCTTATCTCTTATTTGTACAATTACAGAAACATCAAAACCTTCCTATCTATCTCTGGCTCTACAGCCCTTTGTTGGGCCTTGGCCGCTATTTTCGCTTCTTGATAGTTGGTAGGACCTCTTAGACGGGGGATCAGCCCGTGTCATAGCCTCTTCCTACACATAGAACAACACAAATACAGAGTAAACGCAAACATAAATCCATGCCTCGAGTGGGATTCCAACTCACGACCCCAGTGTTCGAGCGAGCGAAGACAGTTCATGCCTCAGACTGCGCGGCCTCTGTGATCGGCTTCAAAATGTTCCTGCTACATGAAATATTCTGCAGTTCGTTCTACGTTAATGCGCTCTGCTTCAAACAGTTTCTTAGAACTCGAATATTTTCTCTGATTCGAAAGCTTTGCTTCAAATCGGACTTATGCTTTAACGCCAAACTTTGCTCTATACCAAACCTTAACAGGATTCTTGAGTCTCTGCGAAGTTGGAGTTCCGGGCAACAACGGCCTGAAGGACCAAGTGATGGCACTGCGATGGGTGCAGAATAATATTGCCCAGTTCGGGGGAGATCCTAACAGAGTCACCATCTTCGGGGAGAGCTCTGGTGGAGCGAGTGTGCACTACCATTTACTGTCTCCAATGTCTAAAGGTATTATCCGCGGATATTTAATAAGCATGGAAATATGGCAGTCTCGATACAAATTTGTAGCCATAACGTGAAAATCAAAGTTGTGAATGACTAAGTTTAACAGAGGAATTATACAGGACATGTTCTTTCCTAGAACATCGCATTTACCAGTCCACACGATGTCATATCCAAGAAAACCACCATACCAATCCGTTCTGGTGTGAAGGCGCCAAGTTTTATATTTCGATGAGAATTATTATCCTGTTTCTTATATTAAACAACTGCTAATTACAGTGGTAACTATATATATCAAGAGATCTAGCATTTTAAGGAACTCTATATTTATACAACACAGTGAAATTGCGTCTTTCCTACTATTCTTAGAGTCTGAATAGCGCATTCGCTATAGCGACTGGGTATGGGCTGGTCGACAAAGAGTCGAAGTTTGTGTCCCGGTGAAGGCAAGAATTTTCATGTCTCCATGTTATCCAGACCAGCTCTGTGGCCCACCCAGCCTCCTATCCAGTGGGTACGGGGGGCTCTTTCTCTGGGGTTGAAACGCCCTGGGCGTGAAGCTGACCACTCACTCCAACGAGTGTCGAGATCAAGAAAATATAGGTCTATACATCCACGCCCCCATACGTCTTCATGGCGTGAGCTTAATTAGGTAAGCACAGGGATAACTTTACTCTACATTTTGCCTATGACTCTTACAAGAAACAGTGATTATTTTCCTAAACATCATTGTTCTTTGTAACAGAGAACCAAAGTTGTGATGTCTGTTCTGACCTGTTGCTTCACCGATAATATGTTCTGCCCTCATCAGGCTTGTTCCACCGCGCCATAGCGCAGAGCGGATCAGCGCTGGACCCGTGGGCCTATGCCGAACCGGATTTCCTGCGCTGGAAGGCATTCACAGTGGGCGAACGTATGAACTGCAGCGCTGCAGGTCCTCATGAACTGTTGCGGTGTCTGCAGGAGGCAGGGGCAAACACGATAGTACAGAGCACTGTAGGGCAGGTACGCCTCTGAGCTCTTTACTGCCACGCCACTTAGCGCAGTACTCCACAAAAGTAGCAGCCGTTCGAATCTCGTCCACAAAATTCAGATATTCTTCCTACATTTCGAAAACGCAAACGGCCATCTGTAGTCAACGCGAAGGGTGGAATAAACAAGAAAATATTGAGCAGCGAAATACATAATATTACATAAATTAATTAATTAGGTAATAAATAAATAGGTAAGTTATTAAACATGACATTCCATACCTCAGGCAATTACTTGTCGCATACGCCTGGGTTAAATTCCTGAATACTGTAATTGAGTACATTTTGTTTTCTCATGCGAGTCACCATTCCAGCTACACCCCATATAATTTGAGGCTGGTACAATGCTCCCATTTGGGGCCACATTATCAGTCACGTCCTCTCCTGAAAAAAATCTGAAAAATAAATATTGTTCACTGGATGTTTAAAAATATTACACAGATAAAGTTATATTGTACAATGTAAGTCGGAGAAAAATTATGAAGGAACATAAGATTTAATTTAAAATAACAATGTGGCAACCATGTGAATCTTATCTTGAGCTTTCGGCCTGATGGTGATAACCTATCAAGAGCAGTAACTGTGGAGTGTGAAACTTTGTACGCATACATATCATAAGCATACTAACATATTAAGCGTGAAATGTTGTTTGTAAGTCAGAAGTTACGTAAATGACGACGGTACTAAATTTTTAGGTTATAACCTACAAATTTAGAGTACAAAAAATCTGTACTTCCCAGATCTTGGCGAGAATGCAATCAAATAAAAATAATGAGAGATCTATCTGACTACAGACCTGAGCATTGCAAAAATAGTCTTTATTTATTCTGTTCTGAACTGCTACTTATGAATCACGCCGACGAATACCAGTAGCAAAATAAGGAGAACTGTATATATAGTGTATGCCATACAAACATGGCCGTGCACTCCAGCTGTTGCTCTCACAGGTCTGAAGATATCACAATTTAATTTCTGCAGGTTTTCAGCACATCTGAGACAATAGTGCCGCTCAGACCGACAAGGGAGGACGAAAGTCAGAGCGACGAAGAGGTCTTCCTTTCAGGAAAACCGGAAGATCTCATAGCTTCAGGAAAGTTCCACAATGTTCCCTACATTACCGGAGTCAACTCCAGAGAAGCCATAATTTATGCGGAAGGTCAGCCTTAATGAATTATGATCATTATCTATGCATGCTTAATTGCCAGAATTTGTCTGTCCGTCTCTCCCACCCTGTTTCTGCCGAACGGCGCGTCGTAAAAGAAAATGGTATTCCTCTTGGACAGAAAACTTCAGAAAATTTTTATTTTTCTTGTTGTGAGTATGGGTTCGTACTTTGTTCGTGTTTCTTGACAACAGTGGGACCACAATAGGCAGTCCTCTTCACGCTCGGGAAGTACCCGACGCGCTGTCGCCAGAGTGGGGAAAACCTAAAGCCCTCTTCTACCGCTGCTAGGTTACGGGAAGGAGAATTGCAGTAGGTAGGATAAAAGAAAGAGATAGAAAAGGCACACGGAGAAAATAGATAAGAGGATAGACAAATAGAAGGAAGGGGGAGTTCTCTGATGGCTTCCAGAGACATCAGAAAATGAAATATGGTCCCAGTCGTGTGGGGCTTAGAATCAGGATTTACTGTGCTGACGACGACCAGCAGCAATTGAGCAGCGGGACTGTTTAATATGAAGAAGAGTGAAGAAGGAAGAGGGAGAGAAACAGTAATACGAATTACAGATAAACGGATGATTAAGAAATAAGAGTGGTGCATGCTGTAGCGTAGTTGGTTGAGGCGCTATGCAACAAGACGGAAGGGCGCCGGTTCGAGTCCCGATGAGGTGCATTTTTCTCTTGACTTAATCGTTCCAGCAGCCACTATGGCCGTGGTGTCGACTCAGCCTCTAACAAAAATGAGTACCATGAATCTTCCTGGGGGTTAAAGTGTGGCCGGCGCGTAAGGCTGACAACCTTACCGCCATCTGTGAGCCGACTGTCTAGACAATGTGGGAACCTCGATGTCTCACAACCCTATGGGCCTTCAGGGCCTGTTACAGGGATACCTTTACGTTTTAAGAAATAAGAGAAAATGTGAAAGTGATGAAAATAATGCGAAAGGAATAAGTGAAAGAAAAATATGGATTATATTTCCGGTAATGTTTTATGAGCCATGCGCTAATTTTCATTATTACTATTACATTGTCACATGTTAGCGTAAATATAGACGGGAGTTGGATTGGAGATTGGATTTATTGACCACTTTAACACATGACTGGTAACTACACTTAATTATGCCGTCATCGCTGATCTCCACATTTTACAAATCACTATAGCACACGCTAAGTCTTTTCAATTTGCTGTCTTTTAACTAGTCTTTACCTAGCAACGGCTTCTAACAGTGAGGATTCTTCAACTGAACAGACCACGTCTTCTCTCCACAGACTCCCTTATAACTGACTAACTTCTAAACTTGTCCCACTGATAACGCCTCGGCACGGACCAACAGAAACACAGCTCTTATTTTGTTGCTCCAATCTTCTCCGCGGGAACACGCCCGTTTGCGAAGATGTTATCCAGCAACGGCTGCGTATACATGCTTATTATGTATCTGTTGCCTAGTAACGGATGTTGTTTCGTCGTTTGTTTCGAGGTCGTTAACCAGGAACGGGAGCCTCCCGAATGTAAATAAAACTTTGATTTGAGCTATCTTCATCGATAGATAAACCTCTAAAACACAGTGGTAACAATATGTACCAGACGATTCAACACTAAGAAGCCCTCAATTTTCCCACAGAGCAATTTGTGTGTTTGGTATGGTTCTCATAATGAACTGCGAATATTTCCCTTAACAGAATTAACTAGTTGGTCTTTGCTAAGGAAACGTGCAAAGTTTCTGTGAAGAAGAAACTCGATTTCTGAGATAATTTTTAGGCAAATTTCACATGGTCGTGTTTGTCTTTCAGAGAGGCTTAAGAGAACATGGCGCCTGGCGACTAGGACCTAGTAGTTAACAATGAGAATCCCTCAATTCGGCTGTCATGACTCATGTGATATGGGCATGTTATCTACGCCTGCGCTAATATGAATTCAAGCTGACAAAGTTTTCTCATACCTACAGGAATTTTCCACGAAATCTTCATGGTCATCGAACGTAAAGAAATTCGATGGAAACTTAACATTTACATTCTCTCTGTTTTAAAAATCTTCGGTACTTTTACCCTCCGCAAATACCATTTTTACATCCGATGTAACCAAACGGTGTAAACAGATATGTCATTTATTTGTCGTGCATTTGTCTTCCCTCAGACATGCAATCGATCCCGTCCTTCTGGGAAGACAGCAAGCAGCACATGAAGAGCGTCATTGCTGATCTTCTGGGCATGCAGAATACCAGTCAGGCAAATGAGATTGCGGAAATGGCGCTCAGCTATTATGCGGGGGATGAGATTCTGACAAACAAAACATTAACAGGGAAGCATATTGACGTAAGTATCAGAGACTAGGAAGCACACTCCTTCTGGAATGTCGCTCTAAGACCTGTGACGCGCAACTGACAATTTCTCGGTTTCTTTGAAGCTGTTTTCTGACCTGGGTTTTGTGCTCGGTGCGGACAGAGCCCTGAAGATGCAGACGCTGCTGTCAGCCGCTCCAGTCTATTCTTATTTATTCTCGTTCGACGGCGGTCTGGGCCTTGCTAAGCTCGCCTTTCATACGCAGCTCGAAGGTAATAAAACAACTAACCACTCACCTCCATCTAGTATCAATGTAAAGAATGGTGGAGCTATGCCTCCGCTCCCTACCACGTCTTCATGGCATAGTGTTTAACTAAGCACAGCGACGATACAATATCAGGTCAATATCCTGACCGTTTATCAGGAATATTGTATGGAGTAAGGACTTATCTGAAATTCAGAAATGTCTCTTTGTAAAATTCCTTTCTAATGTGCCAAACAAGTAATCACAGTGTCAATGAAACATGAGAAACTGGACCACAATTACCCTTTCACAAAAATCTGTGTGTAGCTACTTGATAATATCCACCAGTTTGGCCAACTGCAGCACAAAAAAGAATCTGGCAATATTACTGTCAGACATGTTGGTGATTCTGCTCTGTCTGTTCACTCTTTTATATCCATCGAAAAGAAGAGAGGAAGTTTATTTTGTTATTTTACCACAGGAGTGTCTCATGCTGACGAACTGGGGTATCTATTCCACACAGCAATCAGCCCTTCCGTGGCAGAAGAGTCTGACGAAATGAAGGTTTTGTTAAAAATGGTTAAAATGTGGACGAATTTCGCAAAAACCGGGTAAGTGTGTTTTAATTTGTTTAATTTTCTATTGTGAGAGTTTTTATAGGGGCAACGAAGAGCAATAAAGACACGAATATTTCCTAACCAAGAAATTTTTAATTTGTACAGCTGAACTACAGTTCTTGAACACGGTATCAACAAGGGAAATTAATCCAAAATTTTTATGGAGAATGTTAATTTCAAGCGGAGAAGGTGCCCATATGACTCGCGTTTATGTTCATGTGAAATGACTTCAGATTGTAGCCGACGGCAGACATCAGTAACATGATAATGAACCTTCGGGTTCTGTTACGTATACCAGAAAGTTGCTCAATATTAGCCATTGTTATTGGAGCTTCGGCTTCCAAGCAATCATATATGCCGCCACCTTCCTCTTTTTTTGTTTGTTTTTGTTTTTTTGTTAAATGAAACTAGTGTGACGCACGCTGAGAATTCAGCCGCACGATTTCTCGTTTTTTACGTCGGCTTTCATACTCTTAGTTTCCCCTGTTTTCTCCCATATTTGTTACAGTGTTATACGCTGTCGAATGATACCTCGAGGTCGACGTTTCTTACTATCTCCCACGAATAACAATCATAAATTGTCAATTGGAAACCATGTTTCTTGTAGAATATAATGCATTTAATATATTCGCGCTAAATTTTATAAATACTCACAGAATATACACGATACATTAAATAAAATATTCTCGCTCAGTCATGGCTTGTTACGTAATTTACGTCCATACAATATATTAAATTGAAGAAAGCAGTCTTCTGGGATTTGGTACCGTGTATATGTGGTGTTAACCGACGTTTCGGAGGAACGTATCGCCTCCATCTTCAGGGTAGAAGAAAAAATATATAAGAAATCTGCAAGCGGAGAGACTGTGAGAACCGGTAAAAGCAAAATTAGCTTTGCCATCACTTGACACAACACAATTTTTAAAACTGAATATGGAGGCGATACGTTCCTCCGAAACGTCGGTTAACACCATATATACACGGTGCCAAATGCCAGCAGACTGCTTTCTTCATAGTCACCGCCGTGAAAGCCTAAAATCTTACAATATATTAAGTTGCTGCTGTAACCCCTAATCGCTTAATTTAAGAGTTTCCATCTCGCGCTTACAAAACATTTTCATACAGAGACAGAGATTCATATTCTGCCGTCCTGTTGTGACTATCAACTAGCAGCTATCTGTGTATGTAACTGTAATGTTCCTGCTATAAATTCTGACCGAGTTTTCAGAAAACTGAAGCGTTTCTTTAATTGGGCTTATAGGGACCCCACGCCAGATTGCGACTCTTTGCTGGGAGTGAAGTGGGACCCGACCACCAAAGCTGAACACGTTTACCTCAGCATTGACAAGGAAGTGCAGATGAGAAGGGATCTCTTCAAGGAACGTATGCAGTTCTGGGAGGATATGCTAGGACCCTACATCAAACCTTACAACAGTACCAACTTCTGTTGCAACAAAACATGCTCTTATTACGTTCCTAAGGACTTCTCTTGATAAACTAAAAGTAAATGTTTCCTGTCTTACTATTCTCCTCACTTCGTTGATACTGTACATGCCTTGTCTGAGATGAATAACGTAATATTCACCAAGAAAATGAAGTGTACTCGTAGGACACAACATAGACTCCCCGAGGAGTATATCTGTTACTGGCCACAACATACGTTATTAGTCAGGTAATTTAGGCACAGTGTAACAATTTTGACTCGTTCCTTGCTTCTGCTTCTCGACCTTCAATCTCGGATTGAAGGTTCGATCCCAGGTCAGGTCAAGTGGGACTTTTAGTGGAGAAAGCGGCACTGGGGCAGCTTCTCTCCGAGTATTTCGCTTTCCCCTGCCAGTTCTCATTCCAACGACTGCTCCACAATCACCATCAACTATCATCCGTGGCTGGTACAATAGGCCGGCTAGTGGCCGACGCACCAAGTGGACTCAGCCTCATCACACCCCAAGAAACTAAAAATAATGACAAACATCACAAAGCAGCAACGAGGTGATACAGGGATGCACTTGCATAAAGTATTCTAATTATACACAAAACCGAGACTTGTTTACAAAGCTGTAAGGTAAAGGTAAATTTGTCCCTGGACTTAACTAATTAAGCAATACGCAATGAAAATGTATGGGGGAGTGGATGTATAGATCCACATTTTCTTGACCTCGGCACAAGTTTGAGGCGAGTGGTCAGCATCACGCACCTGTCGCGGCGGACAAAGATGCAGGAAAGAAGATTAGTGTTTATATATATATATATATATATATGTCTTCCGAAACCGCTATAAATACGCTCATAAACGCGTGTAGGTTTCATGTAAATCATCCATCACTGTTGTCGGATTTTAACCAAAACTGAAACGTGTCTACAAATTTTAGTGAAATTTTGAAATATACATGTAGTCAAGTAGAAGCCCACAGACGTTTCAGAGGAATACAGATGGAGTTCTACTGGCTTACAAGGAGTTACATCTTGAAAAAGGAAGTCTGCATGGTCACAGTTGTGAGAGCTTCAGTTTAAACAAACTTCACAGTATAAAATGTCACGAAAATTCTTTCATCGGTCCTAGAGCTCTTAAAGACAGACACATATTGCAAAGATGATAGCATTTCTTTGCAACATTTCGATGAAAACGGGACAGAAACATATTACACCGAATTCTTCCTCACTCTATTTATATTTTGATTATTTATTATAAGGTGAGTTTAATTAATCGATTTTACTGGCAATCTTATGAAAAAACATACCTCGTTATCATAACAGCCCACGAAATGGCTTGGAAATAGCCCAACGTACCAAACCACAGTTATAAATTTGTGATAATACCTCTCACGTGGTTTCCTCATATCGGAACACCTCAAATGGAACCAAATTGAGGAGTCCTGTCTTCTGATATATAATGCGTTTAGTCAGTTGAAAGTAAGCCGACGTTTCGGAGGAATATATCTTGATCGGTTTATACAACACTAAAGATGAAGGCGGTATGTTCGTCAGAAAGAGCGGTTGACTTTCAGCAGACTGTACGGCGTCACATCCCAAAAGACAGTACCCTTCTTAACCACCGCTGTGGGAAGCTTAAATCCTACATATTAGAAATTGTATCGATTTGCTGAACATTTGTGTTAAGCGAATCTTAATTTTAGGGCACTTACGCCGGTCAAACAAACAGACGGACCGTACCGTAAGAAGTGTATGATTTTTTCTACAGACAGAACTTTTTAACTTCTCCTGTACTTCTCCAATCCTGCTACTGCTGCCAGTCTCATCGGTCCGTCTACTAATGTCTCCCAAACTGAAATACAAAATGGCTTGTGTGTCTCGCTGAGACACATACGACAGAAAAAAAGGTAAAGCTATTCCTGCAACGGGTCGTGGAGGCCAAAAGGTTGTGAGACGTCGAGACTCCCACATTTTCTAGACATTCGGCTTACATGTGACAGTAAGGTTGTCCGCCTTAAGCGCCGGCCACCCTTTACCTCCAGGAAGATTCCAGGTACTCGTTTCTGTTAGCGGCTGAGTCGAACCAAGGGCCACAGTGCGACTGGAAGGATTAGGCAAATTAAAAGCCACAATGACCTGATGGGGGATCGAATCCGTGACCAGCCGACTTGTAACGCAGTTCCTCAATCAACTACGCGATGACATGATAAAACTCCAGTTTTCAACTTCTGCGCATGGCCAGTGTTATATCATCGAAGGTTGTGATTCGTGTGGATGAAAGCCTGAACCCCCTCCTTGGTGTCTCCACCTTATCGTGGTGAGGGGGTTTGAGTATGCCAAGGACCCTGAGAGCTATACCAGCGGTAGCGTAGCTACTGGCAGGGCCTCCCCTGCTGGACAGGTCAAAGGGTAGGCGTCAGACGAAGAGAGACAGCAAAACCTGATGCCGGAAGCAGCGTCATCAGCAGCGACTTGAAGCACAGAGCAAATGATGCTCGAGATGGTTCAAGTTCGTATAGCAACAGGCGTGACCACGGCTGTTGTACTGCGATGTGGAAAGCAAATGGAAAAACTACCACATTATCACTTTTCCTGGATAGTCTCTTTCAAAAAACAGAAGATCGCATTAAGTGGAGAAACTGTTACGGAAGAGACTGTGGACCTGTCGTCTGACAGATTACTGATGATGATGATGAAAGCCTGAAGACGCGTGGGTGAATCATTTGTTCCCCTGCTGCGCACTTGAGACGGGCGGTTTCGAATCTCAGCTTGGAGACCGGCGGTCCAGACTGAAAGTTTTCGAAGCCTTCCACTGTCCCTCCGGACAACTGCCAAGGTAGTTCCTTAAATCAGGCCAAAATCGCTTCCTTACACATTCTTTCCCATTCATTATTGATTAAAAGTTCGAATTATTTTCGTCTGACCTACCGAGTAACTAAACTAACTAGGCAGTGCCATTGCCCAGGCGGTTAGTCTCCGGCTTCCCATAGCGGTGGCCCAGGTTCGAGCCCAGGTCAGATCATGTGGGCTTGTGGCAGAAAAAGAGGCACTGGGGTAGGTTTTCTTCGAGTACTTCAATTTCCCCTGCCCATTTTCATTCCTCCGACCGTTCTGCGATCATCACATATCATCTGGGCCAATTAGTGGTCGACGTACCAAGTGGACTCTGTCTCACCCTACCCCAAGAAAGTAAACCAACTCCACGGAGCTTATTCCTTGAGAAGTTACCAGTTGCACAGTTACTCAAGAATTTTGCACCATTTTATGGAGCCCGTTGGTTCATTACCGCGTTCACAACAGCTCGCGACTGATCCCTATCCCGGGCCATGTTAATCCAGTCCATCTCCTTCCGACAGGTTCCTTACACAGCTAAGGCGCATGTAAGTAAACACAAGACGTACTGTTCCATACAAGGGTAAAGTGGGCCACCCGGAAAGCACAAGTAATTCACTTTTCACTTACTGAGGGATGGAGTCCAACTTGGTCCACTCGGCACGGCGGCCACTGATTGGCCTATTGTACTTGCCCCGGGTGATTATGATGATGGAGAACTAGGTGAAATGAAGATTGGCAGGGGAAACCGAAGTACTCGGAGAAAACCCGCCCCAGCGCCACTTTGTCCACCACAAATCCCACTTGAGCAGACCCGGGATCGAACCCGCGACTAACCGCTTGAGCTATGGAGCGGCCAAGCACAGTAATGAGCCTCTATTCAATGAATATTTTACTGGATATTACCCATCGTCTTGATTGATTGATCAGTAATCTGTCAGATGACAGGTCCACAGTCTCTTCCAAAACAGTTCCTCCACTTAATGTGATCTTCTGTTTTTGGAAAGAGACTATCCAGGAAAAGTGATAATGTGGTAGTTTTTCCATTTGCTTTCCACATCGCAGTACAACAGCCGTTCAAACCACTCTGGTCACGCCTGTTGCTATACGAACTTGAACCATCTCGAGCATCATTTGTTCTGTGCTTCAAGTCGCTGCTGATGACGCTGCTTCCGGCATCAGTTTTTGGTTTTTGGTGTCTCTCTTCGTCTGATGCCTACCCTTTGACCTGTCCAGCAAGGGAGGCCCTGCCAGTAGCTACGCTACCGCTGGTATAGCTCTCAGGGTCCTTGGCATACTCAAACCATCGTCTTACACATATTTAAATGCATAATATTTCGGAGGCTTGAACCGCTTCCCTCCTCATGTGTAGTAGTCCACTAATTCGGAGCAGCTCCTTTTAGCGGGTTCAACAAAGTAGGATCCTTTGCTCTCCTACATCTGATGATGGAAGTTGATGCAGCTTCCGAAACGTCATGTTTTTTTTATATATTAATAAGACGACAGACATGAGCCCACAGTCGGTATAACGACTGCTTACGGAATGGACGATCCAGGGGTCGGAGTTCTAGACCCGGTAGAGTCAAGAAATGTCTCTTCTCCATGTCGTCCAGACCGGTTCTGGGACCCACCCAGCCTCCTATTTAGTGGGTACCTGNTCTGATGATGGAAGTTGATGCAGCTTCCGAAACGTCATGTTTTTTTATATATTAATAAGACGACAGACATGAGCCGGGATGGCGCAGTCGGTATAACGACTGCTTACGGAATGGACGATCCAGGGGTCGGAGTTCTAGACCCGGTAGAGTCAAGAAATGTCTCTTCTCCATGTCGTCCAGACCGGTTCTGGGACCCACCCAGCCTCCTATTTAGTGGGTACCTGGTGCTCTTTCCCCTGGGGTAAATCTGCCGGGACGTGAAGCTGACCCCTCACCTCTAACTAGTGCCGAGGTCAAGAAAATGTGGATGTATAAATCCACTCCCCCATACGCCTTCATGGCGTAGTGCTTAATTAGTTAAACACAAGGAAAAGTACCTTACAAGAAGGCAGACAATGCCAAACATAACGTTAATATAAAGTGACGCCATCAGGCTCAGTTTGGCAACACTGCTGGAAGACAACTGTTTGTAACACAGAAGCATCCTGCCATGTAGAGGAATTAAATTCTTGAAATGCAGAAATCAGCTCCTGTGGAAAGTATCGCTAAACAAACACTAGCAGCATCTATGGAAAACTGCTACGTCACTGGATGCTTACGGATCCTGTATTCAAATATTTGTATTATCCCGTGCTTAAGTGTTGTGATATGGTAAGTCTTGCTGTACGGGATAGCTCAGTATAGCAACAGGCTACGGACTGGAAGGCCGGGGTTAGATTCCCGGTAGACTCTAGAATTTTTCTCCATAGCGTCCAGACAGACTCTGGGACTCACCCAGTGGATACCAAGGAATTTCTCCCTGTGGCGTTAAGCGGTCACGATGTGTGACCTCTAACCTCCACCTAATACTGAAGTCAAGAATGGTGAAGCTATAGCTTTACTCTCTGACAAGTCTTCCTGGCCTGCTGCTTAATTACTTAAGCAGAAAGACAACTTCGTTTTGAGTACAGTACGGCTGTAACTGATGTAGCTTAGAGCGTTAGAATCTGGTTTAGGATTTAACCTCTGGAGGCTTTGAGATTCGTGGTGGACGAAGTTGTACTGGGGCAGGTCTATTTGTGGATTTTCCCTGTCTGGTCACCATTCCACCATTCGTCCGCACTCACCTATCACTGTTTGTTGGGGTGTGCAATAGCCTTGATGTGGTAGCATGTATATCATGTCTGAAGTCTGAAGTCTGGCGGCTCGCCTCTCCCAGCACTTGGCTGGTTACAGAGTCAGGAAGTTCTAATAGAGAAGGCTCTACTTGACTGAGCGACAAGCACAAGATATCGTGATATGCATACCGCCCGAGTCACGCTGTTCTTATTGCACTGAATGATACGTTCTTTTTTCTTTACTAGCTACGTCACTAACGTAGAAATATTTTTTTTATTAAAACTAAAACTGCATAATGAGGAGCTTCATAACTTGTCTTCTTCTCCAAGTATAATTAGAATGATCAAGTCATGGAGGATGAGGTGGGCAGGGCACGTAGCACGAAGGGGGGAGATGAGGAATGCGTATAGGATATTGGTGGGAAAGCCAGAAGGAAAGAGACCACTGGGAAGACCAAGGCGTAGGTGGGTAGACAATATTAAAATGGATCTTATAGAAATAGGATGGGGTCGTATGGACTGCATTGTGCTGGCTGAGGGCCGGGACCACTGGAAGGCTCTTGTTAACAAGGTAATGAACCTTCGGGTTCCATAAAATGTTGTGATTTTCTTGAGTGGCTGTAGAATTGCCTGCTCCTCCAGTAGGGCTCAACTTCAAGCGTAAGTAAGTAAGTAAGTGAGAAAGTAAGTACATCAACTATTTTTCAAGAATATATAAATTGAACAGTCTATGAAATATTACGGAGTTAAAAACACAAAGGTAAAATTATCAGACCTTGGAGGCCCATAGGGTTGTGAGGAGTCGAGGCTCCCACATTTTCTAGACAATCGGTTCACAGATGGCGGCGAGGTTGTCAGCCTTAATCGCCGGCCGTCCTTTACTCGCAGGAAGATTCCTGGTGCTCATTTCTGTTAGAGGCTGAGTTGACCCCAAGAGGCATAATGCAGTTGGAAGGGTTACGTCAATTGAAAAATCTAATGAGTTCTTCGGGAATCGAACCCGTGACATCCCGGCTTGTAACATAGTGCTTCATACCAACTCCACAGTTATATTTAGAGGTTCATGTTTGATTCTATAATTGTATCCGCGTTATGAAATAAGAAGAGTTAAGTGGACTGGGGGCTCTCGCCTACGTTTCAATTATCTTATCAAGCAAATTGATCAGAAATGGGAGCAGTGCCGTGCTGTTCTCTAGCGAATGCTCACTGCGGACTCTCATTAAGATATCATGTGTTCATTTGGAAAGTTTCTCTACTGTAATCAATCGTGTTTATTGCATCCGAATATTCCAAAGTTCACTCACTCTCGAAGAAGAGTTCTACCATCATGCACCATAAACCTATCACCACTACAAATTATTATGTTTAATTTCTATACAAGGCAAATAGTGGAGAAACGTGGGTCATATTTAGACAATAATTAAACAGACTCATAAATGTATCAGGGACAATCTTACTGTGTTTGTGATGTGTCCACAGATGTACAAAACTGCTCACGCAACACCGGCAGAACGTTCGCTGCTGGAAGAGAACTGAACTCACTCCAGTGCTGTGCTCTAGCGGAGAATGTGTTCAAATAGCGCGCTCGTGATTATAGGCGTGTAGTGAAACAAAAAAATATATTTTTTTTTGTAATAGCGTGCTCATTATTATAAACGTGTAATGTAACAAACAAAATATATTCAGGAATACTGCTGATGAGTGTAAAAATCTACTCTAAGATGGAATATTTGTGTATGTTAGTGACAGTATTGTTGCTTACTGGAGGTGCAGTAGGACATGAAGTAAAGCCCTCAACAGAAGGAAGCCTAGAGGATGAATGGAACAACACAGACTCGCGGCACGATCGTCGTTTCTTTCTTAAACAAATCTTCAATAAATATGGCGACCACGGTATCATAACATTCGAGGTAAGAATCTTATCTCAATTACCAAATTGAAGGAATGAAAAAGTTATGCAAAAGTTAAATAGTTTCGTTCAGTGTGACTAGTTATGATTTTCTTATTTCAGTTATTCAATAATTGAAATAAGAAAAGGGAACTATTTAACTTTTTCATTGTAATATTAGTGTGACGGACCAGAATGAAACAAATCAAATGAACTGAAGGAACTTACGTTTTGCACTGATGTATTACAGAGTTTTTCAGTTACAAAACAGCGACGGATAACAGAAAACAGGCGCAGAAATAGCATTTTTCTGAAACTACTTCCATCTGCTCATATCAGGAGACGTCGGTTCGTTATGTAATATCCCATTAACGTGTCCGCCAATAAAAATATTCATGCCAGTTCGATTTTTTGGCATATTGGCATTAAAAAATTCGAAAAAGATCTGATAAGTTCCCCGTATTCAACACTTGAGCGGACTTTCACGAAATACAATGTGAAGACAGAACTCTCAAAACCACGGCTGTAAGAACCTCAAATCCTACACGGTATGAAATATTACGAAACTGCGTCTAAATGTTTGAATATTTTGTTAAAATCGGATAATAATAACGGATAATTTACATTAATACTCACACACGTGTCTGCTCTTATTTCGAATGTAAGTTGCTAAATATTTATCGAAGCGAAAAATCTTTCGAACAGAAATTGCGGACAAATTTAAGCAAATATTTATGCCCCATACGCATTTTTACTACCCCTTAAATGATTTCTGGATGAATTAAATAAAACGAAGAAAAAATTTCATTACTGTAACAGTATGTTTACACTGTTTAACTTGTTAAACCTCTTTCTGAGATTAGGCATGTTCAGTCCAGTCAACATGTAAACAAGGGACGAGAGTTACAGCAATGATTAACCAATTTAAATCATTTCTCCAGGATTAGATAAGAACGACTGGAGATAACTACAGAAGCGCTATCAGGCGTGGGGGCCACGTGCCTGAACGTTGTACTGGATGTCAAGATTTCATAACACAGCTCACACATATGCACAGAAAAAACCTCAATATGATGAGGGGTACGTACTAGTAAAAACATAATTATCATAAGTGAGAGATTGCCTCAAATTGAAATGCTATCAACAGCTGATTTTACAGAGGTTGAACAGATACTGGAAACACTACAGATACTGTACACATTTCTTTATTAATGTGGTGTTGGACCAAATTTTGTCCTCAGCACAGCCACGGTCCTCCCTGGAATGGACTCGTACAAGTTTAACTTCATTAATTCTGGCCGTCACACTAGTTAGAGCTATAGAATGATTTGATTACATCGCCCAGTGTGACTCATATATATATATTTATGATGCCTTTACATGTTTCGGTCAATTAATGACCATCTTCAGAAGGCAAATAACCACACTTGAAAAACTATTGTTACATAAAACATAGAAGATCAAGTTCAGAATTGCCCATAATTTTATATATAAAGATTTTTAAATTAAGCTAAAATGTGGTAAGTTAAAATATCAGTAAAATTATCAATATTTAATATCTTCAACTGCAAAGCTCGCGTCTTCATACTCCTTCTATCAACGGAAGAGTGGATATATTTCTGCCCTTGGAGGTCCGGGAAGTTGTTTTTTTTTCATCTTTTCTTCTTCTTTATATATTCTGTGTTTGTTATTGAGCTGCTTCTCCTCTCGATGTTTGTTGAGGCACTCAACCTAGCGGTTAAAGATATTAAATATTAAGAATATTTTTGATATATATATATATACATAAAACGTTGAACAACTTTGAACTTGATCTACTATTTTTTATATAATGGTAGTTTCCTCACGCGTTGTTATTTGACTTCTGAAAATGGCCATTAATTAACCGAAACATGTAAAGGCATCATACATATGTATATATGAGTTACACTGGACGTTGTAATCAAATCATTCTATAGACTCGTACAAAATTTCAACTGCCTCTAGTGGTAATTTATACCATTCTTCTTGAAGAACATGTTCAAGTTGCTTTAGACGTTGGACGTGGGAATGTGTTCCTCACCCTAGTCTCCAAAACTGACCAGAGTGGTTCAATGATGTTCAAATCTGGTGATTGTGCTGGCCAGGGAAGATGTTGAAGTTCACCTTCATGATCTTCAGACCATAACTGAACAGCTCCAGCTATGTGAATGGGGGCACTGTCATCGTGGAAAACTGCATCGTTGTTCGGAAATAGCGTCTGGGTGATAGGAGGCGCCTGATTATCCAACTTGTCCATCTACTTCCTTGCAGTAATTCGACCATGAAGGGTAACAATGGAACCAACAGAATACCATGATGTTGCTGGCCAAACCCTCACAGAAGCTCCCCCGTGTTTCATTGTTCTAACCGAGCATTCCGGACTGTAGGCTAGCTTAGGTGTTCTCAAAGCGTAAACTCTGTCCTGATGCAGGGAACGGCGAGAAAAATGAAGACTCCTCTGACCATATCACGTGCGCGTTTCCAGTTGTCTGATGTCCAGATTTTACGGTCGTGACACCACGGTTTACTCATCTGAGCATTACATTCAGTAATCAGAGGTTTAGCGATTGCAGTCCAACCGTGGATGTTGGATTTTTGAAGCTCATGTCGGAGAGTTTTTGTGAAAATAGGGCCTTCAGGATGCATATTCAGTTCTACTGCAGTTCACCTGTACTGCAGTAGTTGTGTAATTTTTCGAGAAAAATCCTTTTCGATGTACGACGATCTCTTTCTGTCAGTGCTGATTTTCGCCCACTGTGTCTCTTTGTTGACGCTGGCTTCCCATGGTTCATGTATGCCGACATAACCTTAGAAACGGTCACTTTCGATACACCTAACAATGTGGTATTTTTGTCACAGGTAGCATAATTGGTTGAGGCACTATGCTACTATCCGGAAGGTCGCTGGTTCGAGTTCCGATGAGGTGGATTTTTTAACTGGATCCTTCCGGCCGCAGTATGGCCCTGGGGTCGACTCAGCCTCCAACAGAAATGAGTACCGGGAATTAATTAAATAACTTTCCTGGGGAGTAAAGAGCGGCCGGCGCGTAAGGCTGACAACCTTACCGCCATCTGTGAGCCGATTGTCTAGAAGATGTAAAAAAAAAAAAAAAGTAAACGTAAAGCTATCCCTGTACCAGGCAGTGAAGGCCCATAGGGTTGTGAGACGTTGAGGCTCCCACATTATCTAGACAATCGGCTCAAAGATGGCGGTAAGGTTGTCAGCCTTACGCGCCGGCCGCGCTTTACTCCCCAGGAAAATTATTATTTCATTCCTGGTACTCATTTCTGTTAGAGGCTGAGTCGACACCAGGGCATAGTGCGGCTAGAGGGATTAGGTCAACTGAAAAAATCCAATTACCTCAACGGGATTTGAACCCGCGACCTTCGGGAGCCTCAACCTCTCACAACCCTATGGGCCTCCACGACCTGTTACAGGGATAGCTTTACCTTTCGTTTACCTATACCAGTTAAACGCGCACTAACGATCCGTCCTCTTCTTAAATCGGACAATTCTCCCATTTTCCGATTCTTTCACACGGACTGTCACTCAGCCGAATCACTAATACACTTACACGAGCACTACGGAGTGTAAACAAACGAAGAAGAACATTCATTGTTGCCAACTGAAGTTCTTTCAATGTAGCCAACATAAAAATTCAATTTCTCAATTTATTAGTGTTTAAAATATTTTGTTAACCCCCGACCACATGCGCCTAAGTTTAGCATGAACTGTTAGATTACGCCTAGTGTTCCTGTTCCCGAATTTTTACCGCTGTTTAATTCAACCGTCGAAATAATACCCCGCGTACAGACACACAACGTACGATAATATTATTCAGCAACACGAAGAAACAGGTAGCATCTTCCTGTATGAAATTCCCGTCTTCATTAGACACATAAACTTAAGGTACTCATGGCTGTGAATGTATTGTATGGTTGAGGCCGCGCAGTCTTTTGTTTCGGGGAATGTATTGCCTTCAGTTTCAGCGTGGAAGTGTGAGCTAAGCAAGCAAACAGCAAGCATAGTGGGTAGCAAACCTGAAGATGAAGGCGGCAGATTCCTCCGAAACGTCGATACCACCCACAGCCTACAGCTATATGAATATCAGTAGCAGTATACGTTTCTGAAAGTAAACTAGACAATAAATCTCTTCTCGCTGTTGACTTTCTGTTGCCAGCCGTCATTTGTTTGGACTGAGCTTTTGTTAGTACAGACCTGACGCTGCCGCCGCAGTAGTCAAATAAGTTGCTTAATATTGCTCCAGGCGAGAACAGAGAATTTTCTCTTCTCCACAGCGTTCACACCGGCTCTGGCACCCACTCGGCTTCCTGCCTCATTGGTATCGGGAGATAAGATGGCCTGAGCGTGAAGATCATCACTAAAAGTATTCTTTGGGTTTAGAGATTTTCTCTAGGCCTGTACATATATTTTGTTCGTTTATTTTATTTTTCGTTGTTGTATCTCTATTCATGTTTTTCAGTCTCAGTCTAGTACCGAGTTCAAATTGCGTGGAGGTATGCCTCAGTGTCCCACATAAATAAACAAACTCCGTGGCCTGTAGTCCGCAAGCGAACTATACCGACCGAGTGACCGCTGCTTGTCGGCGAAGTTAGTGCCAACTTTTGCGGACAGAGGGTGGTCACGTGATCAGCGCAACAGATCTCCACGGCCGTTAATCTCGGTTCTCTAGACCGGAGCCGCTATTTCCTTGAAATACTTCCTCAGTTATGCTCATGAGGCTGAGTGGACCCCGTCCCAGACCCATTACTTCTAAGAAAATCTGGTAGGCCCGGGAATTGAACCCGGGACCTCTAGGTCTGTAGACCACAGAGGTGGTCTCAGTGACCCACATATGCGTCTTAACTTAACCGTATTACTTACTTCTAATCTGTCGTTCTGAACCACTTGGTTTGTAACAAAACGCGTTGCTTTTTTCACAATAAATTTGATGAAATTTGGATGTTGTTTTAGATATGACAAATATGCACAAAAAATACTCCTTGTTCCAGGGCTTTGAACATTTGCTGGAAAACCTTGGACTTGGCAAACTGGAGTTCGAAGAAAACCACACTGTGTCGCTACACAAGGTGAACGGCTCCTTCCTGGAGGTTCATGACGCTTTGCAACTGCACCGACATAGCCATGGAGGCAGTACACGGACAAAACGCAAAGCCGAAGGTACGTAACCATCTTCAGCGTCTAAAATACTCCCAGAAGGCCTGGGGTGCTTTCATATAGTGACTCAGAACGTCACGTCATGTTTACTAGAGCCTATGCTCGGCATTCGATGGAAATGAGCATCATAACACTGGAGCCTTGCCTTCCGTAACTCTGCGTGCCGAAAGCGATAGCAGACAAGAACAGGCGTCCTGTGACGCCAGACGTCGGTACACGCTACATTCCGACAACTTGCCGGTCAGTCCCCACAATATTTCTTTCCTTGTTTCAGTGTCGTATCTCATTTCTGTTTTGTTTAAAATAAATGAATCTAATGGTGATCCATCGACGCAAACTGTGAAGATACATCCATTTTGGGATAACTGAAAGGCAAATGTCCGAATAGTGCCTCAAAAGAGGCCACAACCTTTTCCTTCTACGTCGTATCAAATTCTTCATTCACTGATTATCCTGTCACATGACGCTACACAGTCTAAGCCACTGATAACATCGTTAATTAAGCCACAAAACAAGAACCGGAATCATAAGACATTTCCCTGTCGTTAGATTCGAAGAAAAATGCCAAAATTTGGTTAACTGGTTGACTGGTTAGTCGCCAGCGAGTAGTGTGCATGAGAGAGGGAGTTATATGGTGTTCACTGATCTCTGTGTGTAGTACAACAAATTCCTGAATTTGTTCGAGCTAATGCCTCAAAATATGCGAGAGACTTGTTCACAAACTAATCTGTATGAACTGAAATTATAATAAAATTGAAGATGATTTTCAAAATATCTTTCTCGAAGCGAAGCTAAAATGTCCAAAAACGTTAAAGTTCACACTCTCGGACCAGTACCTCGGGCAACACGACAACCTGTATTCCAAATTATGACAAAAATCTTTCATATTGACAACAGCAACATTCAACATTACAGACAGTTAGTTAAAATGTATTTTCGAAATTAGAACAATTAAACAGATAATATAGAATTGTCTCCATATTCCGAACACTGAAATTGTAAAGCAGAAGGAAATATTTGGTTCAGTGGTCATTTAGCAACTCAGATAATGGCATAATTAGAACAATTGCAACCTAGTGCTTTATATCGCAAAATATAATTGCTGGAAGAATTTAACTCTTATTGGTATGGAGGAAAAGGATCTGATGGGATAAGTGTTGTTGGTGGTCTATGGGTAAGACTCTGGCCTAGTGTGGAAGACTTCAGGGGTTCGGAACCAACGGAAATTTACCAGAAGTGGGCGCAGTACAAGGGACTTAGTCCCACTCCACTAAGCAATAATATGATGGGATAGGCCTACAAGCGGTAATACGCATTATGCTCCCGGAACACCATTGCTTTCTTTGCCATTAACATAGCATAGAGTAGTCGAAATTCCAAAGAATGAATGACACTGAATTAAAGAAATCAAATTTTCTCGTGTAATGAAAAGAAAATATTGGGAATGTGGATTCCAGTCACATCCAGAAACTCTATAGAAATATCATATCTGTGGGTGTTCTGCAAAAGGTCCGCGGTAGGACATAGGAAACTGACAAGGAAATTATTTCTACATACTCTGTACTGGATATGTTTAGAGCTACATTATGATCACTCAAACAGGCTCTTCCCTTTACACCCATTCGTGTTAATTTAAGAGCTAAAATATACACATTATTCTAAAGGAACTTTCCTACGCTTCTAATAAATTTCACATAGAACTAACTAATTTCATGGCACTGAGCTGTTCATGAAAAGCCGCCAATTTTGCAGCTACTGAAGAACTTCCCAAAATTTTATGAAACTCGAAGGTTCATTATCGTGTTCAACAGAGCCCCTCCCCCCCCCACTGGTCCCTATTCTGAACCAGATTAATCCAGTCCACACCACTCCATCCTATTTCTCTAAGATCCATTTTAATATTATCCACCCACCTACCTCTTTATCCTCTTAGTGGTCTCTTTCCTTCTGGCTACCCCACAATATCCTATATCCATTCCTCTTCTCCACCATGAGTACTACATGATCTGTCCATCACACCTTCCTTTACTTGATCATTTTAATTAAACTTAGCAAAGGTAATCGAAAAAGTTGTATGGGATTTCAAAATGTCGTATATTATAATACGGTATAAAATTCGGGTATTTTTTTTAAATATTTTTAGAAGCTCTCAGGACATGCCATATCTTAATAGGTCTTGAAATTGGCACTACTAGTAACTCTACACGCACCTCCAAGCGGTATAGGCCAGATATAGTGAAGCACGTGTGGCTCGATTCTCTGTTGCATGAGGTCCAAGTCACGAATTGTTACAGCACTTCGCCTACTTCACAAATGCAGAAATGGTGTTAGATCGGGACCTCTTGCAAGCCATGTTATTCTTCCACAGATTCTGGAATCTAGTATCCAGAGTAAGGCAAACCTGTAGACTGAATTGAGGTGAGCAGCCGTCTCGTTGGAGAACAACACTAGTTGCATGTTCTCGTTCAGTCTCATCAAGTTGGAGAAAAGCAAACTGTTCTAACAGATCTAGGTAAATGTCCCTACTAACGGTTTTTACCACAAATAAAGTAAGGTCTTGCCACACGGTAATGCGGTATTCCACACAACAAATTGACTTTTTGGGAATCAAGTATGTATTCAAAAATATATTCTGATTCCCAGGTTCTACGGTTGTAACGACTGACATAGACACTGATGTTAAAGGTAACTTCGTGTGTAAACATTACCCATTGTAAAATGCCTTCACTTCCATCAATTTCACTCAACGTGAAATAAGCAAATGCGACAGGTTTTGGGTGGTCAGTAACTTTAATTTCACTTTAATTTCGAGTTAAATTTTATACGCGTATAATCTGAGACGCTTTTACAGCCAATTCTGGAACGTGGTCACGGGGGAACGGCAACAATTGACTTGAATTCGGCATATCACAATATGCATTGAGTTTTCTGCCGGACGGACGCCATCACATTGAGTGACGTGCGAAACACCTAATGTGAATACCAACGCGCAACTTAGTCTATAGTGCTGCCACGCTCTGTGGCTGCGTGACTAATAATAGCAGGCTTTGGACCTCAATGAATGGATTTATTCATCACTCCTTTACCATCACTCGTAATCACAAGTGATTCACAATAAATCTTCAGCCTAATTCTGTTCCGATCTGATCTCCCTCTATTGTGATCTGAATTACGACTTACTTGACCTTGAACTAAGATTGACTTTACTCAGAGTCAGCGTTACTTTACAACTGGCGGTTTACCGCCAATCAGTTTGTTTTGGCTACAAGACCCTTGAGACCCAAAACTAGCAATTTTCTTCTCAGCTGAACACTTGAGGTCTTAATCCTTATGTAACATCCTCCTTGAGGAGAGAATAGGCCTGTGGTTTACGATTGCTGCTGGTCCTCGCCAGTGCAGTCATTCCCAGGTATGAGTCCCGCGGAATTCATGACCACATTTTACTGTCTCAGATTCGAGACTCCTCCAACCTGGAGGGCCAAGTCCGCGTATTTATACCCCCAAGGAAGAGGGTGGCCCGGTTATAACCCCAGGCAGTCACCTCCTACGACTCGCAGGGCTACGGTGGAGGTATTCGACTCCGCCTCCACGCGGGAATGACTTCATGCTGATCTGAATGGCCTCTTATATAGCGTATCAGTATCCACGGAAACGCCGTTTGATCTCACAGCGACGTGTTGGTTTCCGAGAATTTATCTCAATAGGGACGTCTGTAAATTATTATCCCATGAAACGTCTTCCGTACAGAGTTGGTTTCCAAGAGTCCATGTCTACGGCAACGAGCTAGCCACTCGTTCCCTACCAAGGGGTCTACATGTCACAACACGCATCAACAATCATTGTGATACTAGCGCTGCTCGGGAGAGGTGGTTGTACAGCCCGGAGATTTTCAAAGTCATGGTCACATGTCTCAAATCTACCGATATATTAAACAGCGAAATATTGGATTTGTCTGTATTTAAATACAGTGAGCTTGTATATTATCTTATAACTTGTACCCCTGAGAGCCCTTTTAGGGTTCCGGAGGTTTACGTCTCATAGGCTATAATATGACTTTTAAAAATTTCAAATTAAATTTAAAATAATTAACCCGTTAATGTTATCGAACCGAAATACTCCTATTCTGCAAAGTCCCATTTTTTTATTTTTCCATGTCCCTAATATATCAATTTTAAGTTGCGTTAATTAAAAAGGAAATTACCACAAAACCATGCCAAATCTACAGCTCCATAACTCAAATTATTGTTGCATGACAAAAACAAAAACAGAAGCATCCAGATATGGGGACAAGTGCAGGAAGCTGCGGTTCTGAACCGAGGCTATGTGAAGCCTCATGAAGGGAGCATGAGATATGCTTTGCCAAACACAATTAAAAAAAACTGAGAATTACGTTTTATGCTCATGGAATGAATACATTTTGTGAGATTTGAGGTTCTCGCCGTAGTAAATATCAAATTTGCGATCGTTTGAGACGTGACGCCGTGTAGGTTCGTATCTATGTATCAAATTATGCGTCGTCATAACCCAGAGTAAATTAAATGAGATTAACTTAAGAAGTAGAATCTGAGGTTCTCACAGTGGTCGTTATGAAGAATTCTATCCTCTGTGATGTAACCTTCAAGGCAGAGCCCTGCTTGCTACCTGCTTCAAGCTTTTTTTTTTTTGGCTTATGCTACGACTTTGAAAATGGAGGCAAAATGTTCCTCCGAAACGTCGGTTAGCTTTCAACGGAATAGACGGGACCCAGAAGACAGAAATCTTCAGATTTACTTAGTATTAATTGCCAGCCCAATCAATAAAACTTATTAAATATTTCAATGACAAGGTGGGCACTGCCATTTCATTCAAATATCTCGCTATTCTTACAGCATGTTTCGGCCTTACATGATCAATATTCTAAATACAGTCTGCTTAAAATAAAAAAGTATATAACGCATTATATTTGTAATAAAAGTACTTGTAATTTGCTTAAAATAAAAAGTATATATTTTTTTCCTTGGCACTACAGCCCCAGTGGGCCTAGGCCTACCTCCATGAACTTCTCCGTTCACTTCAGTTTTTCTAGATCTTAGACATACGGTAGGACTCCTTGGGCGGGTGATCAGCTCGTCGCAAGGCCTCTACCTGTACACAAACACAGAAAAACGCACACAAACAAATTAAACATCCATGTCCTGAGTGGGATTCGAACCCACGATCCCGGCTTCCGAGCGAGCGAAGACAGTGCACTCCTTAGACCGCTCGGCTACCGTGACCGGCAAAAACATATATATCGCATTATATTTGTAATACAAGTACTTGTAATTTCGTTAAAATAAAAAGTAGTTAGTTAGTTATTGGAGAGGGTGGGTTTCCCCATGCACTTAGACCTGTATTGGTCCATTGTGCTTCCCTCTATGATTTCTACCAGTCTCTATATCCTACCGGTACTGGTGCTTACCATCAGTCCCGCCCAGCCGGCGAGACCGGCTCTACTAGCTGAGAGGTATCTATAATGCTTACCCCATCTACCAGAGGTATTAGAGACTGCTGTTGGGCGGGAAACTTCCGTAATTTGGCTCAGTGACCTCCTTTGGAGATATGAGGTTCTTTTACGTGCCGTAAAGCTACGACACGGGACCCACGGCTTAAAGTCCCTCCAGGAGGACTTGTTCCCTGAATTTTTCCGTCCTTAAAAATTCGACGACCTCCGCCGGGTATTTGAACCCGCGTACTGCGAGTCATGAGGTGGGAACGTTACCTCTAGACTACGGAGGCCGCTAAATAAAAAGTATATATCGCATTATACTTGTGATACAAGTACTTGTAATTTGAGACATAATCTAATTCGCCATTCAGGAGCCTGACTCTTGAGCCCAAGGAACTTGCGTGAGGAAAAGGCTCAGAAATACTGACGCTCAGAGCTGAACCACACGACAGACAGTTTCTGCCCTTATGGAAAAACAAACACAATTTCTCTAAATGCCTAATTATTTTTCTTTTTCACAGAATTTGAAGAACTGGTCACATCTTACTCAGAGCCACTACCCGTAGCGGCGCCTTGGAGCAACAAGTGTCTCTCCACACAAGATATTCTGGAAACTTTTGGGCTTGAGCCACACCACAGCCTTGTCATCTCTCCCAGTGTATTTCTGAATCTGTGTCCTGCTATTGTGTACGAGCTGGACCAACGCTTGTGCCACAATAAAACTGAGGAGCAACATTTAACCAGTTCAACAAGACCACAACACTCAGGTTTGTTCATGCTACAGTAAAACTGATGAGTAAAGTGTAATCAGTTCAACAGTATTTTTCTTATTGCTAGTGGGGTGGGACTAAAGTCCCTTGTACTGCGGCCACTTCTGGCCTATTATACCAGCCCCAGATGATAGGTGAGGGTGATTGTGGAGCAATTGGTGGAATGAAGATTGGCAGGGGAAACCGAAGTACTCGGAGAAAACCTGCCCCAGCGACACTTTGTCCACCACAAATCCCACTAGACGAGACCCGGGATCGAACCCGGGCCGCCGCGGTGGGAAGCCAGCGACTAACCGCTTGAGCTATGGCGCGGCCCTTATTTCAACAGTAATACAAGATGTTTCGGAATCCGGAATCCCCTTCCTTCCTCAGGTGTAGAATAAGGAAACGGTGCTGATTCACTGGGTCAGTTAGAAAGAGCCATCTGCTTACTTGTTTTTCTGATTAACTTACTCTCGATCCTGAAGATGGAGACAGTACATTCTTCCCAAACAACAGCAAACATCTACCAGACTACAAAGCATCATGTTCTGGAAGCTAGTACTCTTCAAAATAAAGAATATAATTCTCATAATTTCAACAGTGATATGTCTTGAATAATGTGAGGAAAAACATATCTAAACTGTTTGCATTTTGCAGTGATTTTGCTTGAGGTCATCTGCTTTACACTATGTATAAGGGAACGCAAAGTTGGCATTAATGAATTCAGAATCTACGGCCATTGACAGAGTGAAATCTCCAAAATTTTACATCACGTATGAATTTCCTCACTCGTTAAGTTTTAAATCAGAAGTTTAATTGTTATGGTAAAGTATAAAAATCTGCCAATATTTTTGGTTAAAAGTTTCAATATCAACTCACTTGCGTAATTATCATACTGTGAGAATTTTCTACAAGCAGTCTGATTAAAATATCTTATTTCAAACTTAAAATTTAAATTTTAATCTCTGATGTTATAAAGAGTATGAAATTCATAATTTTAGAACATATATGCACGAAATAAAATATTGTGCACATCAAAATTATGATCAGAAAATATATTCCGGTTTCAATCAGACTATGCAGTAAATAGGCCATTCAACTGTATTAAGTGCATGAGGACAAATACGGCTTTCACTCTCATAAATCACTTTTCAGAAATAAACACGCGGAAGTCAGATAAGGCGGCTTTGTGAGCAGTCCGTTTTAAAGATGCATATTGCACAGCTAATGCATTTGAGCGTGTACTGATAATGGTGTAACTGTTTACATATTAAACGCTTGTTCAAACAAGAAAGTACGTCTTGAAGAATCTGTCTTTTCTCAGCAGTTCAATAAACACGTTTCAGCTTGGCTGTACGCAACACTCAGTGTGCTGACCATCAGTCTCATTGGCCTTCTCGGAGTGGCTATGGTCCCACTGGTGCAGAAAACCTGCTATCAACAGTTACTCCATTTCCTCGTAGCGCTGGCTGTTGGCTGTATGTCCGGAGATGCCTTGCTGCACTTGCTGCCTCATGTGAGTTTGGTGTAAAGGCGGAAAGCAAACCGTATTGCATGGTGAAATCATGACGCAGGTCGGAACTTGCAAGTAAAATATTTTGGGGTCTGAATTTCCCCGTGGAAAGAGGGACGGACACACAAACTAACCAGTATCTATTCACATATTCTGATAGTTCAGATATCTTCTGCCTCTTAAGTTTATAGCTGACGGTCAGTGCTATGAAAGGTAAAGGTAAAGGTAAAGCTATCCCTTTAACAGGCCGTGGAGGCCCATAGCGTTGTAAGACGTCGAGGCTCCCACATTTTCTCCAGACAATTGGCTCGAAGATGGCGCTGAGGTTGTCAGCATTATGCGCCGGCTGCCCTTTACCTCCGCGAAGATTCCTGGCACTCATTTCTGTTTGAGATTGAGTCGAACACAGGGTCATAGTGCGCCTGAAAAGATTAGGTAAATTTGAAAATCCAATGATCTCATCGGGTATCGAACCGGCGGTCTACCAGCTTGCAGCATAGTGTCACGACTAGTTACGTTACCGCATTCCCCATCATAGTCAGTGCTATAATCCTAAATTTCTGCTCTTTATGCGGACATTTTCTTCAAAAACATTTATGACTCTGATAAACTGGAGCATTTTCTTTTCGAGAAAGTGAGCGATACCACATGTAATTATAAAGTAAAGTTGCTCTTGTGCTAAATTACCTCGTAATTAAGCACTATGCCAGGAAGACATGTGGGGGAGTGGAGGTATAGCTCCACTATTCTTGAACTCTGCACTATGTGGTGAGAGGTCAGCTTCACGTACCGGCCACTTTATCCTCAAGGAAATCCCCTCCCCCCAATACCCACTGGATACGAGGAGTTTTGAATAATGTTATTGAATGGAGGGGGGACTCCGTGATAAAATTGAGCAAAAAATGCTATGATAGCAGAATTAAGGCGGCATTCCTTCCAGATCTCTAAGACAGTAACAGAGAAAATAGCTGCAGAGTGGAAGCTGCAGGAATTTTAGTGCCAATAACCTCAGGATTCATAAGTAAAATGTATCCTCAGACACAGAGTGATTCTAAATTATTGTCGGGATTTATATTTACAGTTCACGGAAATTCCGACAATTAGAATAACCTTGTACGAATATTTCCCACTAGTTCACATACCCAAAACTCACTTTCCTAAAATAAAATTTTATGTTATCCTTCTGTATCTTTTTTGGAATTCCATATTTTCGGCACTACATATTTGATGGAATAGATACTGGTGGCTCTTTCCCCGGGGGTAAAGCGGCAGGGGAGTGAAGCTGACCACTCACATCCACTTAGTGCCGACGTCAAGAAAGGTGGGGCTATGCCTCCACTTCCCCATACAGACAATCTATCTTTTTTACGTATTTTATACCATTTCTTTTTTCCCCATTCAAGATCACGTCCTAAATAATTTCATAGAGCTGAGCCCTTCTTGAGAGTTCGCCAATTCTGCAACTACTCAAGAACTTCTCAGCAATTTATGGAACCTAAAGGCTCATACCCGTGTTCATAAGAGCCCTCCACTTTTTCCTATCCTGAGTCACATCGATCCAATCCGTACCACCCCATTCTATCCCTATATGATCAATTTTAGCATTGGTCATCCACCTACGCCTTGGTTTTCCTAGTGGTCTCTTTCCTTCTGGATTTCCCACCAATATCCTATATGCATTCCTCTTCTCCCCCATTCGTGCTACATGCCCTGCCCATCTCATCCTCCTTGACTTGATCATTCTAATTATACTTGGCGAAGAGTATGAAGTTATGAAGCTCCTCATTATGCAGTTTTCTCCAACCTCCTGTTACTTCATCCCTCTTCGGTCCAAATATTGTCCTCAACACCCGGTTCACGTCCTAACCTCTATAATAAGTCCAAAATCTGTATACCAGAACCGTGTGAAGCACGAAGCTTTGTTTATGTGCAACAAGCAGACGTGACAGTTCCTCGACCGGTATGGTTACCTCACAGTATCACAATTAAACGCAGCTTCAGCTCTGAAAGCAGGAACAGCTGACTGACAGAAACTCAGTTTTAGTCGTCAGATTAAACATGGACCGAGACTGAAAATTGGAATCACACCCAAATACTCTACGGCAATGATTACACATCGCTTGATACAGTACGAATTGAGGAGCTATTTCAAGAAAATAGCGGCTCCGGTCTAGAAACCCGAAATTAAAGGCTTTGGGGAGCCGTTGCGCTGATCACGTGACACCCTTTATCCGCAAAAGTTGGCATTAAACTTAGCCCACAAGCGGCGGTCGCTCGGTCGGTATAGTTCGCTTGCGGACTAAAATCACGGAGTTTTTGTTTTTAAATGCAGTACGTACTGGCAAGAGTAGGAAGTTAATTTCATTACATGTCTGAGGTATTCTCCACTAGGTCCGGGGTAGACACATGTTACAAAACAGGACACTTCGAAGGGATAGAGGGCTCTGTCTGAATTACACAGTTACAACCCTTCACAATGAGAACCTCACACCCAGCTTAACCGTTCGACATTTCTGTTTGCAGGCTCTGACGTCACGCGCTGCTGGGAACAGCCACGACCACATCACACCAGTACTGCGGGCAATGGTCACCTTCATCGCAATTGTTCTCTTTTTCCTGCTGGAAGCTCTTCTCCATTACATGAACTCCAAGGTCAGTATTATCACGAGGACCTCTCCTGTAACAGGGTTTTGACTATCCCGAACAAAAGGAATATCTTATTTGTGTGCTGTTATTGGAGTGTAACAAGTTCTGGATGATGGTATAAGCACTGGATGCTCCCTGCGTTGGTGCTGTCGCTATGTTGTAGCGGTTCGGTCTAGACTACTATGAATAACCTGACATATATTACATACGGAATAATGAGCATAAGCTCTGTAAGACGTCACTAAGGTCATGAGTACACGACCTGCCCCATGTGAGAAGATCCCGATACGCGGGCGCCCCACGCTACAGTCGCTTCTACCGGCATAAAACCAAGTCAACACGTAGGGGTCGCGGAGTTTTACTACAAAAACGCAATTTTAACTTTCTTAATCTTTTACCTCCTCTGTGGTCTAGAGTTCAGCGTTCCTGGCTACAGATCCAGAGGTCCTGGTTCGATTCCCGGCGCTACCAGATTATTTTTTCTGAGAAGTAGTGGGTCTGGAACGGGGTCCACTCAGCCTCGTGATGATAATTGAGGAGATATTTCGAGGAAATAGCGGCTCCGGTCTAGAAAACCGAAATTAACGGCCGTGGGGATTTGTTGCGCTGACCACGCGACACCCTCTATCCGCAAAAGTTGGCACTGAATTTCGCCGACAAGCAGCGGTCGCTCGATCGGTATAGTTCGCTTGCGGACTAAAATCGCGGATTTTTTTTTGTCTTAATCTTTAGTTTCTAATTTTAATCTTTATATCTTTAATTTTAAAATTTATTATCTAACAATTTTCAGTTTTAAAATTTTGACCAAGGCTCAACATATGAATTTATGCATTTCAATAATTTCAAGACGCAATAAGGATCCTTATTTGAAGAATTAGATGATAATTAATTGCAATTCAACAGCTGAAACTGGAGCATTGTACCCCTGATGATGATCCAGTGTACGGGCCGAAACATGTTGCGTCTGTAAAAGCATAATAAAAGCAAATGTTGATACAGCAGTGTTTTCTTTGTTTTTTAAACACAGAATATTGTCGTGTAAACGGCATACCTTATATACTTTTGTATACCTTATTCATAGCACACAACAGGATGCACACTATTAAGACGGATTAATAACTTTAATTCAAGCGACAAATACCAGCCCTCTCACAGTCTGTTGACAAAAATTTGCGGAATTAAATTATCTGCCCGAGCGGTCTAAGGCATGCACTGTCTTCGTTCCCTCCGAAGCCGGGATCGTGGGTTCGAATCCCACTCAGGGCATGGATGTTTGTGTGCGTTTTTTCTGTGTTTGTGTACAGATAGAGGCCTTGCGACGAGCTGATCACCCGCCCAAGACATCCTACCGTATGTTTTAGATCTAGTAAAATCGAAGTGAAACGGAGAGATTCATGGTGGGAGGCCTAGGCCCAAATGAGGGCTGTAGCGCCAATGAAAAAAAAATTGTTTCCTGACTCCTAATTCTGTGGGTTTCTCATACGTTCAATACCACTGTTGAACTCACCCACCCCGGCCTCTACGGCGGTTCCCGATGGCTGCAGAAAGGAAGGCCTCATCCTCCCCAAATCAGTTTTACAGACTCTGTTGCCGGGCTTCAGTACAAAATGTAAACACTAACTGGGTCTTACAGCAGAAGTTTTCGTTTAACTTGTTTATTTTTTTTTTCAATTGATACCCAGGCTATTAGTGTGCCGATCTCTGAGGCCTGGCGCCATCTCCTGATCTTACTTACGTCACTGGTGTTGAAAACTGCGTGCGTTACGACACGTTATCACACTCTGAGTTACAGAGGGCGATAACTGATAATTTTTAATGTTTATCACAAAGTAGTCTGTAATAAATAATTACGAGTACATGGAGCAGAGTCCTTGAGAAGCTAATAGTTGATAAGATAATCAATTAATTTCATGCGTTTCATGCACCTGAAAGTTCATTATATTGTTCACAAAAGCCCACCATTGGTCCGTAATCTTAATTAAATATAATCGTATACTTATACGTCCTATTTTTTAGAGTGTATAACGTCTAGCCTATGGGTTCGGTGACCGGGAGATCGAGGTTCGATTCCCGGACGGAGCAAAGATATCTCTCTTCTGCATAACGTCCAGACGGGCCGTAGAGCCTACCCAGAAACTTATACATACAATGGGTACCAGGGGCTGTTTAGCAAGGCGTAAAGTCGCAGGGACGTTGAAGCTGACCATGCACCTCCGTCTAGTGCCCAGCTCAAGAATGGTGGAGCTATACCTCCACTCCCCCAATAGTCCTCGTGACATCATGCTTCATAAATTATGCTCTGGAATAAATTTGCGTTTAATTTAGTCATTTAAGAACCATTTTAATATTATCTTCCTATCTCTACCTATGTCTAGCAACATATCTTTTTCCTTCGGTATTTCCAAACAATCAGATACTTAATATTAATATATTTAGCGCAGTCTGGTGGAAAGTTTAATAATGAAATTCGGGAAGTTAGAAAACTTTTATTTCCTTTTAGACCTCAGAGGCACGGCATGGCGAAGATAATTACAGACTTTGCTATATAAAATAATTGTTGCAAGAATGACCAACACGTAACTAGCGTCAGAGGGCATAAACATTTCTGAAAGTTTTCTTCATCCCTCACTCGACTCTACGTATATTTATTGAAATGTCATCCTTTTGTTGACACTTAATTAACGATACTCATACCACGGAATTGAGCCATTATTGAGAAGCTGACAATTGTGCAGCTACTTCAGAATTTCCCAATTTTTTTTTTTTTGGAACCCGAAGGTTCGTTAACGTGTTCACAAGAGCCCTCCACTGGTCAGATCCTGTGCCAGATCTATCCAGTCCACACCACCCCACCCTATACCATCCAGCTTACTAGTACCCTCATACCTACGTCTAGGACTTCCTAGTGGTTTCTTTCCTTTTGGCTTTCCCACCAAAATGCTACATATGATAAAGTTACTATGTGACATGGAGCCGCGCCATAGCTCAAGCGATTAGTTGCTGGCTTCCCAGCGCGGCGGCCCGGGTTCGATCCCGGGTCTGGTCAAGTGGGTTTTGTGGTGGACAAAATGGTGCTGGGGCGAGTTTTCTCCGAGTACTTCGGTTTCCCTTTCCAATCTTCATTCGACCAAATTCTTCATCATCATAATCACCCAGGGCAGGCTACAATAGGCCAATCAGTGGCCGCCGTGCCGAGTGGATCCAATTGAAATCCACTCCCCACTAAGCGAAATAAAAAAATATATTTTTTTTACAATGCGACATAAGCATATATTCTATTCCTGACAAAGAGACAAGGACATAAAGTATTGCCTGTGCATACTTCATGAGAAAAGGTAGTAAACCTAACGTCAAATCATGAAGGCTTACCAAATACTGAACTATTTTTCAAGCTGATATAGATGAGCACCAAACAGGCTATATTGTTAAAACTGACTAGGCACAAAAGGCAGCTGTGTAAATTCAATGAACATATAGATTCCAAATATTTAAAAATCTGTATGGAATATGTCACGGTAATGAACCTCTGGGTTCCATAAAATGTTGGGAAGGTCTTGAGTAGCTGCACAACGGGCGATTTCTCAAGAAGGGCTCAGCTCCATGGAGTCACTTTGGTATGCAAAATGTTGTACTAATGGTCATCGCTTCTCATTCAACAGTCCACACAGAATCAAAAAGTTGACCTTGGAGCACAGTCCGACCCAAAGGAACAGACCCATCTGAATGAAAACGAAGGTATGTAACAGGAATTACCTTACACTGAGAGAAAATATACTGAATAAATGCCGCAATACCAATACTTGGAACATTAAAAAAGGAGCAATATGCAACAACTGATAGCTCAGGGTACAATATATGAAATTACTATACGGCACAGAACCAAGAAGCTAAACATGGAAAATAAGGGAATAATATTATGTAAGATTTGAAGTTTTCACGGCGGTGAAGACTATGAAGAATGCCATCTTTGGGATGTGGCGCGTGTGAATCTTGTATAAACCGACGTTTCAGAGGAACGTATCGCCTCCATCTTCAGGGTATAAAAAAAAAGAAAAATCCGCGAGCGAGGAACCAGCGTGAGCAGGTGGCTGCAGACAGAGTCACCAGTCGAAAACAGGAAGGGAGGGAGAGTGGGCTATATAGGAAATCAATAGAGAGGAGAGGGGAAAGGTATGTGGAGATGGGCCAGCAGGTAGCAGAGCAGAGATGGAATAGGATCGTGTGTGTGTGTGTGTGTGGGGGGTGGAAGGCAGGGTTACCGGGACAGCATTGACCCAATAGCCTTGGGGTAAGCTGCCGAAGGTGCATACAGGGTTTGTCCGGAAAGTAAGGCAGTTTGTTTTTCCCCGCCGCTCCTCCTGGTCGCAAGGCGTTCGAACCGGTTGCGAAAAGGGGGGGGGAGGACTCTTAGCTTCACAACGCTTCCAAGCTCAGTCTGCTCTGAGCTCTGGGAGCGTCAGGATCGCTGTTTCCGTGAACCTCCTGTTAGTGCCTGCGTCACGACGAGCAATGGAGAAAACTATCGAACAACGTTACGCGATCAAGTTCTGTGCTAAACTGAACAAAAGCCTCGCCGACACCCACCAAATGATTCAGGAAGCCTACGGGGACTCTGCTCTCTCCTATTCTCAAGTCTCCAGGTGGTTGAAGTTGTTTAAAAATGGCCAGGAAGAGTTGGAGGATGACCCCCGCTCTGGACGGCCGTCAACCAGCAAAAGTGACAAAAATGTGTCTCATGTTCCTGATCTTTTAAATACCGATTGTCGAACGAGTGTTCGCATGATAGCAGAGACTCTCAGTATTCCGAAAACCATTGTGCACGGCATCGTTACCGACAATTTGCACATGTGGAAAGTGTGCGCCAAGTTGGTCCCTAAATTGTTGACTAACGACCACAAGAACAACCGAGTGACGATCGCGAGTGATCGCAGACTTCTTTTTGTTCCCGAGGAAAATGACAGCCCTGAAAGGAACTCGTTTTGGAACCACTGAAGCGATCCAAACCGCCGTGACAACTCTAAACGAGGTCCCCGTAAACACCTTCCAGGATGCGTACCGTGCATGGAAAAGTCGCTGGCAAAAGTGTGTGGATGCCCAAGAGAAGTACTTTGAAGAATTTTAAACGTTTGTAACGATATCTTGAATAAATTTTTTTTACGAACTTAATTGCATTACTTTCCGGCAAACCTTGGAGACCTGGGTAGCCTTATGGATCGGGCATCATGTTTCGGAGGTTTCTTGAGACGAAGCTTCCATGACTTGCTGAGATAAAAACCCCACCTCTCTGTTTATATTGTTGGGATGGAGCTTAATCTCAACGGCCTCCCTAACGTTGCGATAATATTAATTATACACACACTAACAACGTTATATACAACCTCTTTATTAAAACCGTCACAACACAACTATATCAATGTCAGTGCCTAGTTTGGCTCTGCTACATGTTTCGACTATTAATAGCCATCATCAGGCAAATACATGGCTAACATATATGCACCACTGAACTGCAGTATTAATAAAATTGGATACAATAATATTAATATATTAAAATACTTGACATAAAAATACAATAGATTGGATATATAGAAAACAAAAGTTATAGTATATAACAAAAATAAAATTCTTCGATTGATGCTTTACATCATCGAGTCAGTCGTTGGTTTCTGAGATATTTGATGTGTTCCCACGGACAAATTGGAGTATTCTATATTTTTGCCTCATCTTACCAAGTATTGTCCGTTCTGTAGGGAATGTAAACAACGATGTCAAGTATCTTAATATATTAATATCATTGTATCCAATTTTATTAATACTGCAGTTCAGTGGTACATATATGTTAGCCATGTATTTGCCTGATGATGGCTATTAATAGTCGAAACATGCAGCAGAGCCAAACTAGGCACTGACATTGATATAGTTGTGTTGTGATGGTTTTAATAAAGAAGCTGTATATTATTATAACACAACAGGATGCATGAAATGAAAACCATTATATACACCTCATGCTTATACAGGTAATTTCTTCCACACTACCTTCTGTCAGATAAACTCTTAATTAATCAGGGATAAAATAATAAATTCACTACAAAATTCATATGTATTATTATTATTATTACACTTCGCAAAAAACGTCTGTTTTAACTGAAAGGTGAATGGATTCTCTTAACTCCCATCTTTGTGTGTAATCAACATTCCATCAGCCATATAGTTTTTTACACTGCTTTGAAGAATGAATTGTTGAATTACGTACAGGAATTTCAAGAGACATTATTTGGAACATATGATGCAATTTTATAAGCAAGACTGTTTATGAAAAAACGTTAAACATTCTTTCAAAATTACGTACAATCATGGAAAATAACCTTGTGTTAGTTTCTTCTGTATGTACTTCTGAAGATGACACTGCAAATGTTGAAACTCGCCAGAACAATGATGGATTTAAAATAATTTCAAGAACCTGTGTTGCAATTGACTATACTGTGATAATAAATAACACAATGGGTTACAACAATGTGCAAATCAACATAAAAATATACACAAATCCTTTGCTGTCTTATGTAAAGAAAACTACATTTATTTTGGGAAGAACTTCCCAAGGAAAACAATTAATTAACTTTGCAATATTTACTACAGGCTACATAAAATTTTGGGGTTAAAAATGCAAGCATGGGAGAATACTCGAGGGGAGCACAATGTTTATTTCAAACTAATGCTTAGTCTAGAAAGTTGAAGATAGAAATCTAAGGACCTCAGAGCAAAAAATTAATACTTTTATCGTTGTGTTTCAAAATAAACTGTATTTAGAATATTCATTGCAGAGGGCCTAAAAAGTAGTCTTCAGAATCTAAATTTAAAACAAAATATAAGGAATAAAACTGTTTCTGACTTGAGATCACATTATCTAATTGTTCTTTTCTGAGACTATCTTTCTCCTTTGGTCATTTAAATACCTACCACTGTCAGATAGTTGGACTTTGAGTCTTGAACACTGAAGAGAGAGTGTAAGTTGTCTGCAAAACTAGCTGCAACTGTCAGTACAGTTGCAATGAGGCATCAATATTAGGTCCAACATCAGTAGCCTCTCTTGTTTTTGCAAGTGATAATATGTAAATAATACTGTTTAATTAATTGTGAGAATTACACAAGACACATATATATATACTCTGTGGGGAATATGTAGAGTTCTTTCAATGCTAATGAAGGTGGTGCATAAAGTACCAGTGTGCTTTGAAGGACTGAAAGGGGCAGAAGGGCTGACTTCAACTCCCTGGTAGGAAATTACATTTTGTCTTGACCATAGGTATATGAGTCCTGTCTTTGTTCAAGAGAGATATGTAATTTGGCTCAAACATCATTATTGGCCCTTCATACTATGAAACTGTGGCAGGAAGGCAAAGTCTGTGTGAAATTTTGGTAAGTTGCCACAGAAACCTATGATATAAAAACTCTGCATTCAGGGATCAAACCTTAGCGAGCAGAAAACTTTTGAGTGGTTTCTCCCTTTAAAGATGACTGCACTTCCATGGAAGATGACATATGCTCCTCTCATCTGTCAACATCGCACACTGAAGAATCAGTCTCGGTTGTTCGTAACGTGATTCATGGTGACAGAAGAATGAGAATTCGTGAAGTTGCAGCACAAGTTGGCCTCTACTATGGCACATGCCATACGCTTTTAACTCAAGGTCTGGGAACGACGAGCCTTCAAAAACATTCATCCAATGGGTCACAAATGTCAACAAATAGAAATATGTATGCCAATCACATTTCATGTTCTCCAGCCACAGTATTTTCTTAATTTTGTGCCCTTCACTTATTTCTGATCCCCTAGCTGACAACACCCTAGTGGGAAAGGGACTTCTGAAAGTAGCAAAGTCTATGTGAAGTGGTAAAATTAAGCTCAAAATGCACCAGCACTGCTTCAAAAATGGCACAACCAAAAGTGATATACTTGGAATTTCTTTGTCACTACTATACAGGCAAACTGAGGTGAAATGTATATGCTATTCAGCTCACTGTGAGAAAGCCATTTTATCAAATTAATTTTTCAGGTTGTCTGTCCGATTCTGTTTGACATTCACAGAAATCGTCCATTTCATTCCTGTCTCCTATAATGTAAAACGTAAAGCTATCCCTGCAACAGGCCGTGATGGCCCATAGGGTTGTGAGACGTCGAGGATCCCACATTATCTAGACAGTCGGCTCACAGATGGCGGTAAGGTTGTCAGCCTTATGTGCCGGCTGAGCTTTACTCCCCAAGAAAATTATTTAATTAATTCCTGGTACTCATTTCTGTTAGAGGCTGAGTCAACACCAGGGCCATAGTGAGGCTGGAAGGATTAGGTAACTTGAAAAAAATCTAATGATCTCATCGAGACTTGAACCCACGACCTTCCGGCTTGTAGCGTAGTGCCTCAACCACTATGCTACCACGTGCCCCCTCCAGTCTCCTATAACTTCAACAAACTTGAAATTGTGTGTGTAAATTAAAGTGGCATTGATGGTTTGCTACTTGCTGCAGAGATCTTGGAGAAAGTCATCTGTTGGACTTAATCCAATGTTCAAAAATCAATTTAGAGTACAATGCCATGCTGAGTCTAACAGTTCTGTAATTAACACATAATTTAAACTGACGAAGTGTCCACTGCCAAGATACATACAGACCTCATATGGTTACCAAGGTCAGAAATCTTGTCTTTAGCTAGGAGCATACATGGGCCCATATTCAACTTTTCATTGCAGTTTTGCATAACTGACTGGTCAAGATGCTCACTTAATGTTTATGCAAATCTGAATGGGGGCACACAGTAGCGTAGTTGGTTGAGGCACTATGCTACAAGACGGAAGATTGCAGGTTTGATTCCCGATGAAGTCACTAGATTTTTCAATTGACCTAATCCTTCCAGCTGTACTATGGCCCTGAGGTCGACTCAGCCTCTAGCAGAAATGAGTATCAGGAATCTTCCTGAGGGTAGAGGGCAAATAGCGTGTAACGCAGACAACCTCACCGTCATCTGTGAGCCAACTGTCTAGAAAATGTGGGAGCCTCGGCATCTCATAAACCTATGGGTCTCCACAGCCTGTTACAGGGATACCTTTACCTTTTAAAAATCTGAGCACACCACACATACCCTATTGTGTAGTCTTAAAACAATTTCCTCATACTTTTTAAATATACATCATGTATACACTTTCTATATGTCAAGATAAAATTCTTCTTGGATGTGGCAATATGTAGTTTGGTGGATGGTCACCAATATTTCACAGAAACCTACTGCATTCAACTTCAGGCTACCTTCTACCAAGGACATGAAGGCAGCCGGTTCATCTGAAATGCTGGCACCCATTTACAAAATTAGAGTGTGTTGCATCCCAGAAGACCGTAATATTACACACTCATGAGTGTGAGGACCTCACATACACAAGTAGTTGCCACATTACATGGGACACACATGTGGAACTTTACTGAAGTAAGTTCTGTACGTTCATTCAGCTGTGTATGATAGTTATGAAAACAAAGAACATATTTTGCAGACACCTTACACTTCATATTACATACCAACTTTTGTATGAGTCCTTGTTTCAGATTCTGAGGCTGTAACAAAATTAGATACAGAGAGAGTGCCAATAAATCAGCAACACAGCCATCATCATGGGAAGCATCATCACAAAGATGCAGCTGGTTCTGTCGCGTGGATGGTTATCATGGGCGATGGCTTGCATAACCTCACCGATGGCTTGGCAATTGGTGCTGCATTCAGTGGAGATACTGTCGCAGGCTTTGCAACAGCACTTGCTGTATTATGTCATGAACTGCCTCATGAATTAGGTATGTTAATTTCAACAAGCAAGTTAACTTGCTAGAGGTCACAAACCTAAATAATTTAAAATGCTGTTTCTTTTTATTAAGTATTGTTCAGAAATAATGGCAATGAAGAAAAATATGATAATGAAATTTAAAAAAATTATTGACTTTTTCCTTAAGTAATAACACTGAATAAGTGTTGAGATCATTAATGTCAATTGCACTATGAGAATATAATGTTGAAATGGATAGGACTTAGAAGGGACCAGTAACTGTGCACTTAAACCTTCAAAACAAACTGGTAACTATAGTTACCATGGCTTTTAACATTAAAAAGTTCTGCCCTTTGTATGTTTTGTATGGTTCTCATAATAAACAGCGACTATCTTCCTAAAATAAACATTACCCACTGATCTTTGTAATCATAATAAGATGTTTTCCATGATGTAGGAAATTAGTTCTTAAATATTACTTAGAAACAGTTGATATACAGCAATCAATTCCAAATTCCTCCTTTAAGTGGCACAATTACACATACTGACCAATATGCTTACATTCCCAAGCATTTACAGACTGTACTGTTAATATGAAAACTATAAGAATGTGCGAGATCAACCCAATAAATATCAAAGCTACGAGTCCTACTTCTGTAACTGAACAAGTCTAAGTGGCCATGGCTCATCTGGTCAACAAACAGATGCACAGAATAGTTACTATAGGATTCTGACGATGGTGTGTAACACACAGAGATATTGGGTTTTCGGACTTTATCCATCGTCCTGGTTTTTAAGATAACTAAGAAAAACACGACGTTTCGGAAAGTGGATCTGTTTCCGTCCTCAGGTGAGGGAAAACACCTATTCTGTTGGGTCCCTTAGAAAGAGCTAGCCTCAATCACTGATTTACACGTGATTATTAGGAGATATGACTTACTGTTTGACTGCAGGAATATGAAATTTTGTTTGTACCATGTAGGTTTAAAAGAATTTCTTTAACGGACTTTACAAGGTACTTGCAATGAGTGTAATAGTGTTGTGTACATATGATGGTTGTACGTATGTACTTGATGTTTTTATTTTCACATGTTGAGTGTTCACTGGTGTATTCATAATAATTAATTCACTGGGCGGAGTACGAGCTTTCCACAAATATTTAACTGGTGGCAATTATGTGGGATATTCTAAATTTTGATGGGGGCCTAGTGGAATATAACAACAATTTTGATGTTGCAACTGTGTGACACAACAAAATCGGTGACAGCATTGGGAGCAGAATAAGAAATTGGGGTGCCTCACCCCTGCTTGAACCATGATAAACAGGTTGCAAGGGACGCGGCACAATATGATGCAATTATGTGTGTCTCATTTGATGATGACACAAGCTCAAAGATATTCTGGTCATGAAGATCACTGCCTTCTGGGATGTGGCACCATGTAACATGGCAGGCAGGTAATGTTTTGGAATAACAGGCTGCCATAGAATTATGTGTTGTCACAATCCAGAACATAGGGAACTTCATAGTTGTAAAGATTTGCTAACATATTCACTGCAATAAAATCTGATTATCCAACAGGTGACTTTGCAGTCCTGTTACAAACAGGAATGAGGATACACAAGGCTGTCGCCTACAATATCTTCTCTTCAGTACTAAGTTTCTTCGGGATGGCCATTGGTGTGTGGATTGGCAAACATGAATCAGCATCGCTGTGGATATATGCTTTTACAGCAGGAACATTTCTATACATCAGTCTTGTAGACTTGGTAAGTATACACACAAACTACCACATTACAAATATTCTATTTAAGCACTGTTTAAACTACAACTAGAACAAAGACACTATGCCTTATTATTTAACTGAAGGACAATTTAAACAAACTTATTCACGTATGGGCAGTCAATAGTTAAATCCCTTCTAAGATTTCTTAAAATGTATGTCATAATTTGACTACACAACCTTAGAGAACAAAACCTTGTTATCCAACAGGACCTCCTATATAGTCATTGTGAGGCATCATATTTCAATGTTGAACAGTTTATTACCAGTCCTACTTAATGGTAACTGATAATACACAGAATTACTGGGTGTTTGGACTTTGCACATTGTCGAGTATTTTAGAAACTAGAGTTCTAGAATGTTATACACCATCATCAGTAACCTCTAGAATCTGCCAGAACCAGCTGTCAATGCCCTTATTCCTGCTTGTATCAATTAATATGGAAATTTCAATTGAAACCACGTTCCTTCATTTGACTCTGCATAATATTGGAAGATCACAAACACAATAGTCAGAAAGATGCATCTCGAATCAGTTTCAGGCTTTTTATAGGTGCACAAAGGGCAGTATTCCAATCTTTCTGAAATACCCATAGAATATAAATCCGACCATTAACGGATCTTACTGTTCAAGGATATGTAATAAGGTGGCAGCAGCAGAGCTACATCTGTTTGCAGAAACCAGAATCCACTGGTTTCTCCTTACAAACACGTGTTCCCACATGCACACATATGTGACACATTCAAAAAGCAAATGCAGTTACACTGCAACATGGAGTAGACACAGAGAGACATAAGTTGAAATATCAGCTGGAAGCTGTCACATGCCCAATGCCCATCAATGCAGCAGATTATTGAGCAAATTTCCTTGAACGATGTGTCCTATGCATTTGTCAAAGTAAACAGCACTCCTCCTTATATGATGCACATGTGCCCAATAATGCTGGGAGCCATAATGTTCCAGGACTGTTTGAAGGGAAAACTGCTGTCTCCATCGTCAAGAGAAAGTGAGAGCCCAATGGCCGATGCTGATACCTATTGTACATGTCCACTGGATGAGTGTCGCAGGCAGAAAAGAACATACCCTACAGGACACCCTCTCTCTCTCTCTCTTTCTTTCTCAGAACAAAGAAATGTAAGACCGTGGTGAAACCTGTATGGAAGGTATGGGTCGGTATGGAGAGGGGTTGGGACATAGGGGAGATAATACAGTAAGAAGGAACAAGTTATAGAAAAGGCCAGATTAAATTTAAAATGGTGGTGAAACAAACATCAATATTAGGGTATGAGAAATGGAAGTAACAGGGTCATGAAGTCAGCTGCTTATGCCTGCACTTTGATTCTGTCAAATTATCTTTCTAGCAGGGCCACAGTTTAATACTAACGAACAAGTTACCAACTGTGAAACATGTTGCTGTTGCAGATTCCAGAAATGAATACCAACTCAGAGAAGTCTCAAGGGTTTCTAGATGTAATACTGCAGCTGGCTGGAATTATCACTGGAGCCAGTCTCATGCTCATCATTGCACTTTACGAAGATGATTTAAGTTACCTGTTTGGTTAAACTTTGACCCAGCTACAAGAAACTTGTCACTCACGAAAGGTTTGCAAAACCAGGGGTAGAGGATCTTACTAGGTTATGTAGGCTAAACTTCTGAAAGAATCACAGCTCATTTCAATCCACTGTACTACTGCTCATTCTCACACAAATGTATTGCATTTCCAGTATTATGAAGGTGGGTCTTCTGGAATGTGACACCATGTACTGTGGTATATGGATACCAATGCTGCAGAGGAACGTGCTGTCTCCAGCTTCATGATAAAGGGAAATGAACACCAGCACACATGCCCTACACCCTATTTAAAACAGAGCCAACTACACTGAAACATTCAAAACAGCTACACACAGCACCAAAGCATATAACCAGCACATTTTAGAAACATTTTACATCAACATGAAAAGCAGAACAGGGTGACAACAGAGCAGCAGGTTCCTTTAATCCAACATCTCATACACCTGATGGTGGCCAGTTAGACCAAAACATGTAGTGTTGTACATGAAGAGATGAAGACATGGAAGTGTGAATATTAGTACATCGACAAATTTGCATAGAGACAGCAAAGAGTGAGAGCACGAAGTCAAGATCAATGGATTCTGAAGATGGAGACAGTTTCCTCCTAAACATTGGTATTATAGTGGCTATCTGCCATTTGTTGTGAACTGTGTATTCAAACTACAACCACTTGGTGGCACTTGTACTGAGTGGTCTCTGAGGACAATCATTCATTATATGGTCTGCAGGGAAGGAACTGCATTCCCTTCCTGATGTCTGTTCCCCAAGGAAAACCATGCAAACCTCATTACTTCTGGGAGTTACTGGTCCATGCCCCTTGAGATCAACTCAATTACCACAGCCCTGACTAATCCAGTTCCTGAAGTACTGGCTATCCCCATCACACGCTTATCCTCTCTTATTCCCCTTGCGTTCATAAAAGCTTCAGCGACTGCTGCTCTCCTTCCTGCAGGACCAGACCTGTTTAGTGAATGTTCTTATAACTACAGCTTGACCAACCTCATAGGACAAACTAAAGCTTGTTCAAGGAAAGGACTTGTCAATAAGCAAATATCATGTTCTCAGGCTTTCTATATGATAAACCAAAGGAAAGGAAATGTGGTTCTTTATATTTATTGCTATACACTCATAAACATTAATTTACATGCAATAATAATAATATAAACTGTTGAGTGTGAATATAAAGTAGTAAACTTTTTAAATTTCCTTTACATGTTTCGGTCTATTTGACCATCATCAGTGCCTCAATATGTTCTGTCTAACAAACACCTAGACCCAGAAATACAGAGCCCTTAACAAATAACAAGAGAACACACAACATCAACCAGGAGGGCATAAATATAACACCTGTTCAATACAAGATTCCATGGATGCAACCACTGATTTGAGATTTTAACATCTCCAGACATTAAATGTAATCAAATAATTGTAAAAGTATTTTAAGATCCAAATAAAAATTAATTTTAATGTATACGAAGGTACAACACAAACTGTAAACATGTATCAACATAAATGTAATAGTAACGCCTGATCATGTTGACTTGTTCCTCTGATGACAGTCAAATAGACCGAAACATGTAAAGGAAATTAAAAAAGTTTACATCTTATATTCACATTCGACAGTTTATATTACAAAGTGAATACTAGTGTGACGGGCCAGAATGAATAAAGTTAAAAAGAGCATAATAATTCGTTACTTTCTTCTTTGTGATGATAATGTTTCTGAACTGTGAATAACTAAAACTTCTTCCAAACCTTTGTGTAATCTCATTAATTACTCACAAAATTTATTTAAGATTCTAAAAGGTTTTTATACTTTATGACTTCTGTTATTCCAAAATCAGTGATTACCACAAAGTAACCTGGTTAATATCAAGATGATGAAGACTGATGTGGGCTTTCTGCTCTCCACCATGGTGTTACCTAGTTTTTGCTACATGACTATACATCAGTCTTGTTCAGTTCCAAACTTTGGGACAAAAGGTGGACCAGAAGAGAGGTGAGCATGTGTATGTAAAGATCATCCATCTATATACTGTTAAACTGCTGACTTCGCTGTTCATGGCCCAGACTGAAAATGGTTCCTACTGTGTTATAAACTGAGCAATAAACTAATCATAAATCAAATCTTTAAAAATCTGTGAATTTTTATAACTAAAATGTGGAAGTATTAAATTTTTAAAGTACAATTTGTTCAGAAACTTTACTCATCACAGTAACTATCCACTGAAATTCATGGCATCACATCCCAGCATTGTACTACCCTCTGCTGTGATAATCTCATACATCATATGTTTCTAGCTTAAATAACTACACACAACACTGATGAGCTAGATTAACTTCAGTCACAAAATTCTGTACATCAATTTCAGGTTACAGGTTATGAATGTCAGTCTCAGGCCTTTCTACATAAAAATAAAACACAATACATATGAATATAGATTACCACGTATAATGTTCTTTTAATTATGATCAGGAGACAGACCCATCCATGTATGACATACATATTTCTATCTGCCATTCCTGTGAGAAAACTGGCGATACAATGGACATTTTACATCTGAATATACACGCACATTCTATAAGCAGACTGGAACAATTTCACATTAATACGTAGGTCGTACCGAAAGTCAGGAACAACTTTTTTTGCATGCAACCTGGGAACAGCAGACGAAAGAGAGTATGGTGGTAGGTGGAACCAGCTGTTGTGTTAACCTTGAGTGTCTTGTGACGTCAGTAGCTTGCATCACGTGACCAGTATCACTCCTAACAAAATGGCTGACAACAATGTGTCGTTTCGCCAGCGTGCTGTCATCGAATTTCTTGTGAAAGAGGAAATCCCTGCTGCAAAAATTCACCAAAGACTTCAGCGTGGTTATGGAAGTGTGTGCATGGGTGAAAGCAGTGTTCGAAGAATGGTGAAACGTTTTAAACATGGGAACACCAGCATCAAAGATGAGCCTCGGAGCGGTCATCCTCGAACAGCCTAAACTGAACGCAACAATGAAAGAGTGGATGAGATCATTCAAGATGACAGGTGTGTGACTGTGGACACAATAGCCCGAAAACTTGGAATAGGGCACACTGCAGTACAGGAGATGAATGAAAGCTTGGGCTATAGGAAAGTTTGTGCTCATTGGGTCCCGCGGTTATTGACTGAACACCACAAAGGTCAGTGAAAAGCAATCACATCAAAACTGTTGAAGAGATATTGACACAAAGGCAATGATTTTTTGCTCTGTATTGTGACAGGTGACGAAAGCTGGTTTCACCATTTCAAGCCTGAAATGAAACGGCAGAGTACAGAATGGCAGCACTTGCATTCTCCATTAAAAAAGAAGGCAAAGACAGTGCCATCAGCTGCAAAGGTGATGGGCACATGTGACATATACACGGTGCCAAATCCCAGAAGACTGCTTTCTTCATAGTCACCGCCGTGAGAGCCTCAAATCTTACACGTGATGGGCACAGTCTTCTGCGTTGCAGAGGGGTTTATTCTGGCCGAATTCCTGGAACCTGGGCAAACCACCAATGCTGCTCATTATGTCCAGACGCTCCACAAGCTCCATCGTGCATTCCACGATAAACGTCCGGAACGAAACATCATCATCCTGCACGACAATGCTCGCCCCCACGTGGCGTGCCACACATTGGAAGCAATTGCAAAGATGGGGTGGGAAGTTCTTCCACACCCCTCCTATAGCCCTGATCTGGCACCCTCAGACTACCATTGTTTCGGATTTGTGAAGGATCAGCTGTGTGGACAACGTTTTGAGACAAGGGAGGCAATTCAGAAAGCAGTGCGTCAGTGTCTTCGGATGGCTGGAACGGAATTTTACAGAAAAGGAATTTTCAAACTCCCAGAACGCTGGGAGAAATGTGTACAAAGAAGTGGCGATTATGTGGAAAAATAAAGAAAGGTCTGTAGATTGAGGTGGTGTATTTGGTTTGTCAATAATAGAGCATTTTACTTTACCAAAAATTGTTGCTCATGACTTTCAGTACAACCCTTGTAGCAACATGAGAAAAATGTACACTTGGATGATGCCTACTGAGATATCTATAACTCAATATTTGATGTCATCAATGATCATACGGAGATGATACTACATATCTAAAAATTGTGTTCCTTCCATATACATAATATTTCCAGATGGTGTTGAAGTCGGAACAACTTATTGCCTAAAAGAAACAGACTTCTGTTTCATTACAAATTCCATACACTTTGCCCATATTCACTGCCATAACACAGAGAAACATAAAACTGATGATAAAATATATATGAATGTGAATTTACAATAGGATTGTAATTTTAAATAATGCAAATTTGTAATGATTTTATAAAACATTAATTCAACATTCCATAAAATCTCTATACACACAAAGGAATAACATAACCAGCCCAACAGGGTGGAAAAATCTAGAAGTCACTCTAACATATACAGGATGCATGTAATAACACTACATCGACATCTACAACAAATGTGTAAATAACATATAATGCAGTGCAACAGGATCCAACGTTGCCAATATAATCTCAGACAAATATACTTCAATGAATAGCTAGTGACTGCAACAAAGAATAACATTTAAGAAATTTAAATTTTTATCTCAATTCTAAATATATTTTAATTCATAATCAACACCACGTTCACATGAGACATTTAATTTTAACATACAGTGGAACAAGTCTGGCAAGACAGACATGCACACAATGTCGGTCATATACGGCCAGAACATGTAGTGATAGAGAGAAGTAAGACTCACTCATCAGTCACACCTGGAGCTGAGCCCTTTTTGAGAAACTGCCAATTGTGCAGCTACTGACGAACATCCCAGCATTTTATGGAACCTGAAGGTCCATTACCATGTTCACAAGAGCCCTCCGACAGTCCCTATCCTGAGCCAGATCAATCCAATCCATACCATCCCATCCATCTGAGATTCATTTTAATACTGTCCAACCACCTGTGTCTTGGTTTTCCCAGTGGTCTCCTTCCTTCTGGTTTTCCCACCCATATCCTATATGCATTTCCCCTCTCCCCATTCGTGCTACATGTTCTGCTCATCTCATTACCTTATGCCAGATAGAAGTAATTAGCTTATGGACCTTAGAACGTAATATTTCACCTGAAGCTTGAATAAGTTCGGCCGGAATTTGATCACCACCTGGCGATTTATACTGTAACGCATTGGGTATATGTCACGCGACAAGTAACTTCACACCTTATTTGATATAGCGAATTTATTACACTCACTGATGCCGTGTTTACAGGTGTTGCTAGCAAAGCTGTCGAGAGTGGTTTATGGCTGGGTAGTAACCATGGTATTCCTTGTTACATTACCATGGCAATGGTTGCCTGGCGCAGCCGCTCCTCTGCCACATCAGAGCGGGGGGGGTTTACTCGGTGTTGCGTACTGGTGGAAGGAGTGGGGGTATGTGACGTAACTCGAGGAAACGCAGAGTTCATGTGACCCCCACTTCCCGTTGCGCCATCCACGTCACACTGCTCCCTTCTAAAGGTTGTTCGTCCCGAACAGCCTAACGGTACATCCCTGTTCCTTTTTCTTCCCATTGTCCTTTCTTCAATCGCTACATCGGCTACCTTCTTACGGTTGCTCGTCTCGAGCAGCCGCATGATAAGGCGTGTGCCGGTCCAGGTGTACTACCAACATTCTCGATCTACGGTTTTGGATTTGTGAATATGTAAGTACTTGAACCAGAGCATATCACCCTGCCACAATACAGCTGCAACATCTGTCCCATAACTTCTAGTCATACTTCTCCCTATTTCTCCAAAAGGCTAGCACCATGAAATACAGATGGATGCATTTCACTTTTGTGCCAAGGTACCACAGCATAAATTCAAAGAGAAGATCTTTGAATGTGGACATCCTCTGAAGTGTCCCAGCTTCAGCAGCTACAGCTGCGAGCGAAGGCAACATACCAATCCACAGAATCTCCATGGTCCTTGGCAATGGCTCGTATTATATGCAAGGTCCTGATGTCTAATAACACGAATCTTGGCATGGTATGAAGAGCTTTCATAACCCGATCAAATTCACGCCGTGCCATTTCTGTCATGTCTTCTTCACTTAACCTTGTCATAAATTTCATAGTGACATTTAGTTCACAATTATCTTCCACACCTAATTCACTTGCATGAGTACTGATGTCAGGCTGATTATTAGTAACTGCTATCCACAGACGACAGAGGGGTTAGCATACAGAGGCCCGTAGATACTCGTAGAGGCCACGGTCCAACAAAACAAGCTCTGCTTTCCCATCTGCAGCCTTCCTAACAAACACATTTCCAGGATGTGAATCTGCATGCACAAATCCTGTATGGAGTATCTTTTCAGCAAATGCGTCGAACAGCTTCCTGTCAATATCAGCAAATGAGAATCCCTGTTTCCTTAGTGATTCAACATCGCTGATTTTGGTTCCATGAATGAACTCTGTAGTCAGAATTCTCTTGGTGCTCAAATTCCATATGACTTGGGGTACATGAATAAATGAGTACTTCAAGAGACCTTCTGCACAGCATTCTGAATTTTTTCCTTCATTAATGAAGTAGAGTTCCGTTTTAAGATTTTTTGTAGGTCCTCAAGAACCCACTCAAAATCAAAGTCTCGATGCAGCCATCCAACTATCTTGAGCAAGAATTTAATGGTCAAAACATCACCAGTAAAGCGATCCTGAAGATCTATATACGGCACCTTCACAGCTACTTCTTTCCCAGCCGAACCCTCAGGAAGACCCTAGGGCTGGATATCAGGCAACAAGCAGTCGAGGTTTCCAGCGGATTACAGAACATCAAAAACTGGACCTTGTGGAGGGCCCAGAGAGAATGAATGTGCGATGGATGAAAGTGATACAACGGGATCTTCGGGCACGTTAGTAGGAAACTGCTCGAGACAAGCTGGTCTTAAGAAGGGAGCGGATGTCGCAGTTGAAGAACAGACAACGGGAAGAAAGGAAACACCGAACCAGAAAAAAAAAGTTCACATTGCAAGCATAGCCTTGGAAGAAAAGTACCAGTGATGCACTGTTAGGCTATTTGGGACGAACAGCCTTAAGAAAGGAGCAGTGTGAAATGTCTAACCGTTGTTGGGCAACGGGAGGTGGAACGAGTTACCACGAAGACAGACCCTTGATAAGCGGTTGGTTTCCAGGTTATGCAATAGTAAGGAAAGCGGTGTTTCTCCATGCTGTGCCGAGCCGAAGCACACTAGTTGCTATGCAGCAATAAACAACTCTCGGCAGCATTCCCCAGCAATGCCTGTAAACACGATGTTTACGCAACAGTCAAGAGATCATGTAACTGTTTTCTGTGTTGTCAGTTTGAAAGCTACAAAACGAGGAGAACGAGGTACCAGTCAGTTGCAGTCTAGCATTCGCCGGAGTGAATGGCAGCAGGAGAAGTAAATGTGATACTGCAGATGGCAGTAATTGTAAAATTGTAAACTATGTAAATGTAAGAGCAAGTGGAATAAATTCACTATATTGAAGACGGTGTAAAGTTACTTGCTGCGTGACTTACACCCAACATGCGACAATATATTTTCAATTTCGCAATTGCATTTTCAACCTCAAAAGGGGG